AACCAACGAGACGTGAAACAATTGAACCAAGCATCAACGTATACGAATGCCACAAACTCACAGAAAATCGAATATAACTGTATGAATGTCGATTTGTAGTCAATTTGTTAAAAGAGCAATTCAGTAAACTAATATTCTAAGTTAAAACAAAATAACAAAGCAGTAGTACATGCAAGCATATATTGTTATATATGCTTTTTATTGTTATAAAATCTTTATTAGTAAAGTCATTTTTATGTCACCAACAATATCGGAATGAATAAAAAGCTAAAACGGCATCAAAAAAACTGGGTGTCCTCTCAAGGGTTAGAAGATACTTCACGCCTGGACAGCTTTTAACGCTATACCAAGCACAGGTCCGATCTTGCATGGAGTATTTTTCCCACTTATGGGATGGATCCGCTCAGTACCAACTTGACGCTCTAGACTCAATCGACAGACGAGCAAGGAGACTTATCGGGGACGAATCACTTGTAGCTAAGAGGCTTCAAAGTCTTAATCACCGACGTAAAGTAGCTTGTCTATCGGTGTTCTATAGGCTCCATTTTGGCGAATGTGCTCAAGAACTGCACAACCTCTTTCCTCCAGCACCGTTCCATCAACGTACAACAAGACGTAGAGAGCGGCTCCACCCCTACACTATTGACATCCCAGCTGCTCGAACTAACCGTTTTGCATCATCTTTCCTTATGCGAGCAGCTAAGGAGTGGAACTCTCTACCAGCGTCTTTTTTTCCTGCCTCTTACGACATTGGGTCTTTTAAGTCAAGAGTGAACACAATAAACAATTTTGCACAATAAACTTATATAAAACTTATATAAAAAAAAAAAAAGAATATTCTACCTAGAAAAGTAAGTAAGAAATTCTACTGCAGTTAATTTTAATAACAGTTATAAAACTTCAAGTGTTTCTCAATGAAAAATTACCTAAATTATACAAATGCCAATTATTTGTAAAGACATACTTAACAAATCCCCAGATGGATCTGAAACTAATACCACTAATCCTCACACCAGATTCCTCATGGTATACCCCAAAAGAATCCAGTGCATTGCAGTTTTCTTAAACACATCGTACTAATAATTATAAAATATTTCATGTTCTATTTTTTTATACCTCGACTCATGCTCAAAGCGCGTAAACAAAATACTCGTAAATGCATTCGCAAGCATCACCGCACCGACATACATCACGGGCGTCAAATCAACTCGCACGTCACACGCGCTGACGCCGATGAACAGGGACGCCAATTAGAAATGGCAATCGGTCGCCAACCAGTACATAAGTCTACTTATTTAAAAAAATATGTGTTATATTTATTATTATATATAAATTCACATAATATTCGCACATATCAGTGGTGAAGAGAGTAAGAATAAATATAGCAAATTAAATACGCGGTTTATTATCTTTTTTTTTGTTGAATTGTAACTGTAAAGTTTGTTTACTTAATTACTGTAGTTCACATAGATAGATAATTTATTTGCTTAAACATTGTTCAAGCAAAAAAATATCTGTGTAAACTATTACCGATATTATAAATTATCTATGTGTCTATCTATCTTAACCCAATTGCACGTAACAAGCCACAATTCTATCACAAAAAAAATATTAGTAACTAGTCGTATACATGTTATCCAAATGTTTGATAAAAATTAATTAATTTTTCAGAGATTTACGTATTTTTCCAGCTTTCGCTGGCGACGAACCTTTTATTGGAGAAATTAGTAATATCAGCGTGGATTTAATTAGCGTGATAATTGCCGCCGAGTTTTAGCAATCGTCAACTAAAGCCGTATTAGCTCTGCATGACATGAATTTTTCACTCGTAGGATTTAAAAGTGCTGAAATAAAATATAGAATCAATACATATAGGAGAGGTGGAGGAGAATATAATTTTTTCTTCATCTTAATAATGGAGAATAGCGACCCTATTTATGTCGGTTTCTAATTTCTGCATTTAGCCTCTCATTCGGTTCAATGCGCGTGTAGAACCAAGACTACTGGATTAACCAGCCAGCCAGCCATGGCTACCATTGTACCATGTCAGGTCGACCTTCACTCTGTCCCCCTGGAAACCATAACGATCAATTCCTGTTAAGTTAACCACCACTGAACTGCCTTCATCCCCATTCTATCTTTATCCAATATTACTCCGCCAGCGTCTACCGACAGACTATGACAGCTTTGATTTATGCTCTACCAGGATAGTGACCTACCAACATATGTAGTGCATAAATCAACTTGTTTAAAATACAGAACGACCAAAACGAGCAATTAAAATTTAATCAAATGAAATTACTGTACCTTAAAAAGCTTAGCAATATTTATACTAGTCATTGTTGATCTTCATTGAGACGTCATGGTATAATACAATTACCATAAATTCCTATGTAAAGTAAGTTACATTTGAAGTTTTTGCAATAATGCATTAACCATGTCGATTGCAAACTAGCGTTTATTTCTTTTACTTGTATTTTATTTTGTTTAATATCAAAGTATATAAAAGAATTCTAAAAAGTTTAGCACATGCAGCATTATGTTATTTTATTTTATATTAGGCCTATTTACGACTGCCGACTGACTTAGGAATCATGGCAAATCTGTAAATTTAAATATTTACAACATTACAAGCTTTGTATCTTTAAATCGAAATGCAACTGATTAGTCATTACCTCGCTTATAAAGGCTAGTCACGTAGAACTCTACCGCAAATACGTAATTTACTACATGTTTACTTTTTTCATTTAAATGAACTACTATTTTCAAACTATACAATGAAATATCTAAAATCATCTATTTAAAAATTATTATCAGACGAATAAAATAACAAATCTCGATACGTTCAGGCAACCCTTCAAAACGTATACCGTAAACTATATAATCTGGTGTGCAAGTTTATTAAACGTCAGTAGCATGCGGCCCATACTTCGGTTGCTAAAATAGAGATGAAACAATAGGCAATTTTAAAAGTGCGACTGAGACAGACGTCTGGAACAGCCCAACAACGTTCCCCCGGCAATATTAATATTGTACTTATTAAATTGCTAGACTCGCTATCTTGAAATATAAATAGGTGCTTAGCTTCGATTTTCTTGGGAGCAACTTGATTTGATTATATCTGTGGATATTTGTAAACGTATTCCAGCAGAGATCGTTAGTTTATTTTGTATTATCTCTCTGCTAACGAAGATCCATACCGTAAACATTTTAGTGAAGTTGAAACTAACCTATTGCTATTGTGTACCGTACATTTAGTATTAAGTATTTACTATGTAAATACTTAATTTAATTCGCGTAGTAAATAATCTGTAAAAATAAACTTAGTAATCTAATAATATTTTTATTGTAATAATGAATCATACTCTTAATTCAGTGACAGTTGGTTCTTTCAAACATAAATTATTTACTCACCTCTTTAAGGAAAAAAAATCATTGTAGCAGGGAACACAATATAAAATATAATAAGCATCTAAAACATATACCAACTACACCATTTATGTACATTATATATTTAAATATTATTAATAAATTTTATTATAATAAATATCTCATTACATAACAATATACCTACTTAAATAATATACTAAATTTACTACATATATTAATTAAAATTGCATTTATGAATATTTACAAAATTGTCTTAATCTTAACGTTTTATTTTCTTTTGTTATCTTTACGTACGCCGTCTCGTGTGTGGTGGCCCCACCGAAAATCAGCGCTGTGGTATAACTATACTACAGTATAAATGCTGAGTGGGAGCCACATTCAGCGTTACTAGTATGTTTTAGCTTTTAAGTTGTATAGTATATAATAATACTGTAAAGCTGAATAAATGTCTATTATTCAGCTTTACAGTATTCTTATGTACTATACAATTTAAAAAAAAAAGCAAAAGTATTGTCTGTAAATAAATTATTATTATTATTGTTTTTTTATATATATATTATATATCTCCCTTTGATGGGGTGTTAAACTTGTCATTGCGGGTGAATATCACCAAACAATGACAATTATAAAATAAATGATTATTATTACTCACACAATTATAAAAAAAATATATACATATATATATATATATATATATATATATATATATTATATATTAACAAAACAACTGTAAATAAACACGAACAAAAAATTATGACATGAATAAATGTATTATTGAGTTTAGTAATAAATTTATATTTATTACTAAACTCATGTGTTACATACGTCATGACATAAAAAGCTAAGTTTAAAGTATTAAATAATACAATTTGTGCAGAGTTGCGTGTATGCTGTGTTTAGATATAACTGGACGCTTGCCAAGAGTCTAAATACTAGCGAGCAGTCTCTACCAACAGACAGCCAATCAAATCTCATTGTTATGACGACATGACGAGCCCGTCAAGGGATATCACATGAGATAATTAATATTCCATTCACTATATGCACAATAATGTGAATATCAAATGTATACATCAATACATAATTTTATTGAGGTCTATCTTCACTTATATATTATTTCAATAAATATTAGTGTCAAATGCTTTTAATTAACTGTACGTAACAACATTTAAGTTAATGCGGATAATGATTAGAAATCCATTCGTAACTCAATACAATAACTTTTTGCTTTTAAAATCTCTATACTACACACCGACCTTGCCTGGATACTCATAACTTTGTGAGTTTTATATATATTAACATGATATTTAGCCTATAACTCTCTGGAATAATATACCTTTTAATCAACGACAGAATTTGTCGGATAGGCTCAGTAGTTCCAGTGTTAACTTTCCTTGTAACAAAATTCCTCCTTCTTCTCTTAATAAAAATAAAAATTAGTATGTATAGATATAATTGATAGACAGCTATAAAATATACATAAATACAATATCAGATGATTACAATTATCAAATCAAATTTGTTATCTATATTAGTGATGGTATTATCTGCATAAGAAGATTATATAAAGTAAGAATAGTTTATTTTATGACATTACTTTTGCTTCTACAATGAAGGTGTTTTTGGTAACATTCCTAGCGGTTGTCGCTATTGGCAATGCAAAATACGTTGGACTTCCCGATGATTACACTGTCTATGGATATCTGACGAAATATGGAATACCAGAAGCCGAAAGAATCCGCAAGGCCGAAGAGGCTTATCGGAACGATCTCTCTAGAATAGTCGGTGGCGTTCCCGCTGAAATTGGACAAATCCCATACCAGGTTTTAAAATCACGATAATTTTCTATTTTCTCATTACATTTCATTAATTTCATTAGTCATACTTGTAAATACTGATATTAGTTTAATAAAATAATCGTTATTAATAATTATATTTGTAACAAGACAAGTACTACTTATCGGACAGTGTTATTCACAATAACCAATGTCAGTTAAAATGGGCGGAAATAATATATGTATAACCTGCCTCACGCAATGTTTTATAAGCAGAAAAGTCCAGACAATTTTAAATAAAAACGCCTCGTTTCTACTCATACATATTTCTTGAAATATCGAAGCTGCACAAGTCAATCAATTATTATTTCAAATGCAATCGCTCAATTATAACATAAGAAACTATTCAAAGAATTATCTTTTCTAGTCATTTCTCACTCCAAAAGTCACACATTGTTTAGTTTGGAATACCCCATTTGAATTACACCGACTATGTGTATTGTGTTTATACTGCCCAGTATAAATGCGTCTTAAGTATATATTATTATATTGTATGCTGCCCAATAAAATTTTACTTAAATTCGTTTTCTTCACAAACTTCTTCTTGTTTTAGTTTTTCTCCATCAAATACCATACCAATTTTTTTCCAAAATGATAGTGTACAGTGTTATATTTAAGTAAAATACTGACTTTATTATTTCATGCTCTATCTTACATAAAAAGTAGTGAAGACACCGTTGGGTTAGTCTTGACCTACATCACAATTTAATGTATTAAGTTATGTTTATTCATGAAAATACAAAGCAAAATAAACAGAACAAAAATGTCTGGAAAACCCGCTTAAATACCTATTAAACTATTACAGTATATTCTATATTTTATGGTACTGGTAACAAATTTTATTATTAAATAGTCAATAGTAAATTCTAAATTATATTATACTATGAAAATGCGTCAATGTTAGGACATTTATTACACTTTCCACTTACAGGCTGGACTTATTAGCGACATTATTGGCATATCCGGCAGAGGAGTGTGTGGTGGTTCCCTCATCTCTAACAACAGAGTGCTGACTGCAGCTCACTGCTGGTTTGATGGCATCAATCAAGCTTGGAGATTCACCGTAGTACTTGGCACCGTTTTCTTATTCAGTGGCGGTATTGGAATTGAAACCAGTGCTGTTGTCAACCACCCCAACTACTCCCCTATTCTAATTCGGAATGATATCTCAGTAATTTATTTACCTGTTGCCGTTGTACCATCAGGTCAGTATAAAATATTAACTATTCCTAAAATGGGTTCTAGGTATTGTGCTCTAATTAAACATTAGGTACTGCGTAATTTAAGATCCTGCATATTTAGAAAACCTTATCTTGAGTCAGTTAATTGTTTAATTTGTTATTTTATATATAGCAACCATCAGTCCTGTGTCCTTGCCTACTGGGTCTGAACTTCAGGAAGATTTTGCTGGCGCATCCGCTACTGCGTCTGGTTTTGGTTTAACTAGTGACGGTAAGCAATATTTATACACAAACTTAATTGTGATGAAGGATGGTAATCATATTTAAATGTAAGATATTAGTGTTGTTTTAATTACGTAATAATACAATAGTATTTAAAATGTCCTTTGTTGTTTTCATGTAGATAATAATTTTTAGATAGTAATTAGTTCATTAAGAATACCTAGATTACGTAAAGTAATGTACGTGTAAGAGTATATATTTGTAACAGTACAATCTCGGAATAAATACGATATCTACGTACCAATATCAATGTACCAAATGTCATTAATTCCATTACCAATTTACCTAATTAATATTTAATTGTTCTCTATAAACATTATTGCTGTATGTAGGAAATAATAATAATGAATACCTCCTACTTTTTAAAGATTCCAAAAGATTTCAATATAATTAGATTGACGTATTCATTAGCTATGATAAATCACACCAGTAAATAGATATATAATTGAATGCCATCTTTGTGATTTAATTGAGTGTCTTTTCACGTATTTTGTCTTATGGTGCTTTTCTCCTTTCCAAAGATATGTGCACTCGTAAGTATATGTTATTTTAATGTATATATTAATATGTACATTTATATACATATATATTTATGTTCCGTTTACCTTTTTCTTGTCTTTACTTTCTTTACCCAAAAGAAAAGATTGGTTAAGGATAAAGTCGCTTTTGTATCAGATCATGTATATTTTTTCTTAACATTTTCTTTATTTAGTGTAATAAAGAGTATAAATAAATATATATCGACGTCGATTTTTTTATTATATTTATTAATAATAACTTTATACATCGTAGAATGTAATTTTCTCGCTTCTATTGATTTTGTATTTGTATCTATATTTAGGTGGGAGCATCTCCAATAACCAGTACCTGAGTTTCGTCACCTTGAGCGTTGTGACGAATTCCGCGTGCTCATATGCATTCCCTTTGATCATTCAACCCAGCAACATTTGCACCAGCGGTGTCGGTGGTCTTGGCACATGTAACGGCGACTCCGGTGGTCCACTCGTTGTTGTTAGAAATAATAGGCACATCTTGGTATGCACATTTATTTAATTAAAATTACATAATATCTAATTTATTAACTGACTTTATGTCCGTTACTTGTAATCTCTAGTCAACTCTAGGTATTTTTAAATACTGATGTAGTTAGAAATTTATAATATAGATAAAGTAAATGTCTCTTTAAAACAAATTTACCTATGTAAAATAAATGTATCTCCATATCTGCAATTTTAAAGTACAATTTAGTTATCCTTAGTAAGTAACTGGCATTATTGAACAATTCAATTGCTTGTAAAAATATTTACAACTATACTAACTAACGGGCACTAATTGTGCCCGTTAGTTAGCGACGTCGTCTATGTGATATTCATAATAACAGTAGGTTAACATAACTTTTTTGTTTTGTGTACTAATTAGAATGATACAAGAAGATTGCTATAATACTTTTATAAAAACATCATTTATATCTGTTATATTGTTTCTGATATTCACGTCCACAATCATACAGACGAATAAAGTAATATTTTCATTTCTTTTGAATTCTGTAAAATAAATACAACGTGTACAGAATATTTAAAGTTAAATTTATAAACACGGTTCGTTTACTAATTTTATTATACGATATTCCTTTGTTATTTTGTTAAAATAGTTTAGATGTTCTATGGCTAACTTTAAATACCGCATATTATGTTGTCTGGGTCTGGCTGCATATTTATGTGTCTATGGGGACGAACTACTAAATTTGAAGTCGACTTTATTAAAAATGTATTAATATATCCACAGATCGGTGTAACATCCTTCGGATCCGCTTTTGGTTGCCAAGCCAACCTGCCAGCCGCCTACGCTCGAGTTACGTCCTTCATCGATTTTATCAACGAACATCTCTGAACTGATATATTATATGTATAATTTATATTAATCGTTATTTTAATTAAAAATATATATTTACGTAAATATAATACGAAAGTAAAGGACTTTATTTAATATTTAATTTTCTACCATGGTAGATTTCATGCGAAATCTTCTACCTTTGTCTCACCTCATCGTCGAAAGGATAGCTTCGTAAAGAGGCACTGAAATTAAATAATTCCGATGCATTACATCTTAGTCCTCCGGAACAGGAATGCATCCGTAACACGTGCGTCACATGATAACCTGGTGTTGTTCATGTACATAAACGACAACTGGGTCGTCAGATAGTTTACTACTAAATAAATGTTACATAAAAAAATGCTGTATGTTACTTCAACAAATTAAACTCGATTGAAATCCAAAAGCCTAGGTAAGATTATAAATATAAAAATGAGTTTGTTTGTATGTCACTCGTTCACACGTGATAATCAACCAATTCTTGTAAATTAACTTACAAGTACCGAATGTTATGATAGTGAAGAGCATATGCTACATTTAATCGATCTAATCAATTAAAATACTCGTTACTGTCATTAGCAAATGAAGTAGGTATTCACGTAGATACATACGAAACTTTGTTCAAATAAATGATACTGATCGGTCCTATTCCAAAAACCTTATTAAAAATTAACTTAACCGATTAACAATATGGTAGAATCTTTAGTAACTAATCATTCGAGTAGTTGAATCACAGAATAGAATTAGGAATCACACGTATGTAGCTGAAAGCTAAATATAGAGACATTTTCTATCTGTCTTCAAATCAAACGTTTCTTTATTTAAGTTAAATGTTTTAGAAGTTATCTTTTTAAACTAGCGATGTCCGCGATTTCGCCCTGTATAATTGCAAACGCCATTTATTGACAGTAATCAAAGCACAAAAATAAATAAAGCATTATACAACGCTATTATTTTATTATGATAACAATAATATATGAAATAACAGATATCGTAATAGCAGATAGCGTATTTAAAATTAATAATTATTTATTGGATATTACCTACTAATTGAAGAATATTTTTCTATAAATTCTGTAACCTATACATTTAACAACATATTCTGTGAAAATGATTGTAGTTACAGACAAACAGACACATTTTCCATTATTATGATTTCGTTATAAATGTAAAGATTTTAATTACTAAATAACCTAAATAATTCCTTTGAACCTTTATTGACTGTGGGCATTTCCAGGTCTATGGATAACATTAAAATTACTTATTACTGCTACTGATCGACTTTAGATAGACTTTATCTAATGTAGACAACATTACATGATGTTAAATCGTAGCCAAAGTTAAAGGATTACATTATCGGTTTATTAATGATATCTGTAAGTCCAAAATACCCATTGAAATAAAATACAGTCACCTTTATTGATATGTACGTATCTGCACTAAACACTATTTCAAATTAATCGACACTGTATTGCTTGTTATATCAATAAATACGTGATTAGTTTTTAATTGGTGATTCTACAAAATAGGTAGGTACTAATATTTTTACAAAATCATAAATTGGCAGGACACTTTTGCTCCGGAGCAAAAGTGACCTGGGTGACGCAGCTGGAATCGACTCACAACGCGAGCCTCAAATAGTTCAAAGACCAACCAAAACGCTGTCTACCATCATGAACGAAGATTGCTGGCTATAGTGGTGTACCAGCGTTACCGTGGCAGATTGCCCTAGTCTATGTGGGGACCACAGAGACAATATTATAATTTTGTATTTTCCTGTATATATATATTAGTTCTTAAGATAGGTATATGATATGGGCAAGTATTGTTATAATGTTAAATGGCCTATAATAAAAATATATTATAAGTACACAGCGTACCAAAATTATGTACATAGGTAATTACATACTAACATACAATTAGTAATTCAGATTACATTATTACATTAAACGTAATTCTAACTAATGCCAAGATATTATAAATTTATAGAAAATTAAGAACTAGACTAGGCTTTAATATAGACACTATCTATTTGGGTAGGTAGGTATAATTGTAGGCAACTGTACCAAGTGAATTAAAGTAGAAGTAGCAATACATACTTCTAAATACATACATAATTATATTAATTATAGATATATTTCATAGATAATAATTGTGTTATCCGCACATTGTCATGATAAACAAAAGTCATTTAGTCTATGCATTATCCGTGTTGTGCTATATACGCATTACTTGATAGTTTTTAATTCCAGATTCCGGTTCCGGACTCACCTAGATATAGACTATGTACCACAGATAATATAATATTACATACAGATACCCCATCCCATACAAGAAAATGGTTCCTTCCTAACTCGGGCTATTCTTCGGGCTATTTTATTTCGCCGCCGTAGGCGCTAGATGTCGCTATATCTGAAGCAGTTCGGATTACTAGTGGGTGATTAGTAATAAAGCATGAAAATAGATGGCAGGAAATTCGGTCTACATGACATCTGTTTTGCAAAGATACGTACATAATAGATATATAACTGTATCGAACTCCTGATTGGGTACAATCGAAAATTCAATGTATGTATAATATTGTTCGCTGACAGTCTACAGACACGGCTAATGTACCTACATATGTATCTATGTATGTACTATGTTACAGTTACTTTTTTACATGCCTACTTTTTTTCTCCCGACGAAGATATGTCGTAACGCGTCTGCACTAAAATCGGGCTATCGGTTAAGGAGCAATAGCTCCTTAACGAATAGCCCGATTTTAATACGGTTTTTCTTATTTAAATTGTTATGTGATAGTGATAGATTTTAGCTATAATCAATTGATGTGCATATGGGTACCTCATATAATTTTCAGTGTATAATTATTTCTCAATATGTAGTTAATTATGGTAAACTGGCAATTTGTAAAACTGAAAATAATATCTGCAAACCATCAATCTGTTATATGTAGGTTCTTTCAGGGATACTACATCGGTGCTAATGACATGTAGGTACTTATTTTGATATACCTATTTGTAGAACCTTCGATATCTACAAACTACGCCTTTACTGCTAGTTTTTTGGTATTTATGTAAGTTGTTATTCAGTTGAAATTAAGCTGCGAAATTACAGGATATTTGGACATAATATCTATGTTCTCCGGAATGATAACGTATGCGGGATATAGCGGGCACGACATGATGACGTAATGCTGTTTAATAATATATGTGTATGTATGTACGTCGGATAGCGTCGTGGTTGGATGGATCGTCAGCTTATTTACCATTTCAGTTAATAATAGTAGGTAGTAACTTTTGACAATATGGATGAGGGAGGGTAACGGTGATGATGATGAGATCAATAATGACTGTTGACGATAGTGACGGTGGTATTTATTTATGACCACCATAAAATTCATCATTGGCAGTATTCTCAACATTATCATCATTGGTCATCATGATGGTTGAGATCAAATTAATTAATTGATTAAAAAAGTAGCAAGTATTAGGTAGGTACTAAGTCCTTATATGACTTAAATACAAGGTTCTGGGATGCTGTGATATACTACAGTCTCTAGATTTAGTTTCTTATTAGTATTCCACGACCAAAGTCTATAGACAGAAATATAGATTTACACAAAGTTTTTTGATGTAAATGGGAATTATTACACACATTGCATTAAAAAATATATATGATTACCATCTAATACAAAATCATTATGTAATAAATAATTCCTGACATTTTAAATCAAATGAGGTGAAACTAACATTGCATGAACACAACACTTGAAGATCATAAAATTTTTATTTCAGGTAACAAAACACTTTTAAATAATTTATTAATCACAGAATAAACAATTGTTAATAATTTACAATAATATTTCTTTCACTGCTTGTCTGTTATACCACTAAAACTTCAAACACTTCTGTTATTTTTATATTATATTCCAAGTAAATCAATATCAAGACATAATATTTCATCAAAATCATTTCATAATTAATTCCTGGTACACAAAATATTCCTGGATTTGTTGATGAAGCAATATAATAATAATCATGTGCTTAAATCATAAACTTATTTGCAGTCGGTTACACATAATATAATTACTTGGAATTTCTTCTCATCACTAGTCCATTGCTTTCTTACTTATTTAATTATATTATTAATTGCATTGTGATTAATAATTTACAGATTTTTCTTATGCTTTTTTCTCTTATTTTTACTTGCATTATTATTTTATACAGTAAAATGTTCATATATACATATATATTTCTTATTCTTTTGAACCCCTGTTCTTTACAGTAAAAATGTTATTTATCTTCATCTGAATGACTAGGAGATTTAGAATATCATCTCTTATTTGTTTAAACTTTGTTCAGTATTAAGTTGTTGATGTCAGGAAAATCTGAAAACAATATCATATACCTATGTTACATTTTCATGAACTTACATGAATGAATTTACATGAAAGTAACTAAACTGTAACCTTATTAGCACAATAAACATATTATTCATACATCATATTCATTCAGTTCTAATAAAATATAAAAATAATACTACTGTTTAGTACTTTATTTTGATTAATAATTTTCAGTATTTTCTCAATCAATCAAAAATTATAAAATCAGTGTTAGTTTTTTGAAGTTACATTCATAACAATAATAAAAACATAATAATACCACATTAAAGCGGTCACCAAGTACCTATGTTTATTATATTTTAATATGAAAGATACACACGCATACATATGCAAGTTTTTAACAACTTATAGTTATACCTGGTATGAGATAATCCTCAAAGACACAATAGATTACTAAATATTTGTAGTAGTCCTTAGACACATTTAAATTATTGAGTTTGACAAAAAAATAAGAAGTTCAATGAACTCTGAACAGGAACAATTCAAAAGTTGAAGTACCTACTTAACTTAAATGATGAAAAAAGAGAAAAAATCCAATGCTAGTGAAAATATGTTTTAAGCATTTGACTTAAAGTCGTTTATCCTATTCTTTTATTCCTATATTTTATATTTTTAACATTTCATTTATGTTGTCAGTACTCGTTGTCATTTCGATATAATAAAAAAATATGGACCAACCTACGATTTTAAATCGATATTTTTATTTGTGATGAAATCTAATAATATAAATTATGAATAACCTACCCTCGAATGGAGATATTAAAAAACTAATTATCATGAATAGCAGGTACTAGGATCAGTAATATATCATAGTATTATGAATGATTATCGTTTCAAAACCTTGTACAATTTAGTAAGGTTGAAAATATCCTTCTACAAAAGCAAAATTCGAGTATTTGTAAAGTTTCTTATGAGTATTTGTAAAAATTCGAGGATCCTCATATTTAGCTATCAATGTCAGTAATTTAGATACCATATAACACTTGTTTATTGAGGTTTCATAAAGGTATAGCTGACCTTAGATACTCTATACCACATTCAATTCTCATTCATTAAATTACAATAAGTAGGTATTTATTTTTTTTAATAGAAGAACTATGTCACTAATGTCATTAATTGCTATAATTACCAGGGTGACCGCGTGGAGGTTGATATAATAGAGTACACTTGTATCAGATCAATCTAATTAATATTTCCCTCTTCAAGTTTCGAAGTTATGAGCGAACAGATAAATATATAGTACTTGCATACCTGTCAAAATCTCTCTATTTTGCCGTCGTCGAGTAAAAATTATGCATTGAAATTCGTTCCAAATAAGAGTATAATACAGAATGATGAAATTTTACTGTTTGCAAAGGCTAATTAAAAGCACCATCGAATAATGCGTTGTAATATCCTGTTATCGATTATTCGAAAAAATCGATAAATCTATGCATTTATTTTTAATATGGCAATACTTTCTAAATAAGTATTACTGGAATAATATGGTTTTCTTGTTTAGCTGTTTTATATTTACTTAAACTTTTTTTAAATGTTTATTTATCATAATAATATAGTAAGTACTTATTATTTGAAAATATAAAATAAACATTTAAAATACGATGATACAAATGAAAACAGCGCCATCTATGAAAGCATTTTGGAAACAATAAGCCCCAATTAGCAATGATTAAATTGTAAACAAATACAGGGCAACAACAAAATGAGTAAATATATGAAAATTACTTTTCAAAACGCATTATTTCATTTTAACATCTATATATGACTTTTTAAAAATAGATTAAACCTTTTTAAAAATAGATTAAACCTTTTTAAAAACATAGTTTTGGGTTTTAAACGATTACAAAACAATGTTGAATTCCATTCGATACCAATGACGCCATCTAAATCCGTTTTTCGAACTAAAAATGGCTACTATGCCATTGTTCCCCAATGCTATGTACTAATTTCGATGCATGAGATAGTTCTTATGCATCTAAATTTGTACATTAAAGGCTGTTGTTCTTTAATGCAATATGTTATTTAGTCTACCTTTACTAAACTGATATACTGCTATAAAATATCTGAATTACATTACATAACTACCAAAATATTAAATTTTTGATTCATTTAAAAATAGAATTCATTCAATACCAATCAATACGGAATTATAAATTTCGTTAGGAATAAAAAATAATTATTGTTTCGAAATTGACAATTGAAAATTAAATCTCTTGACCTTTTTTTATAAACCTGATATAAGCATGATGATATAAAAATAATAAGATAAATATTAAAGTACTATTTGAGATATCAAATATTAACTGGTCAATTAGGAATCTGTCAGGGGGTAAATTCGCGCCAGATTCTCCGGACAGTTTTTTGTTTCACAGACCGGAGAGTTTATGAGAATGGCCTATACTCGATATTGAACGATAAATTATAAAAATAATTTGATAAGACCTATATTATAATCACTTAATGCAGATTAGATAGTATTGAAATTTTTACCTTCCATCTATTTATTACATCCAAGTAGAAATAAATATAATATTAATAAATCAAAACAATTCACGCATCGCCATTTAATCCCAAGCTAAACAGAACTTGTGTTGGGTATTAAACAATAGAAACACATAAATACTTAGAAAACACCCAGACTGATACAAAAAATCATATTCATGCATGTAAATGTTTGTACCTGTACGAGGAATCGAACCAGCGACAATGAGAAGTAAGGCAGTGTGCTAAATGTTATAACACCCTGACTGTCGATAAATTATAAAGTTATGTACGCCTGAAAGCTGCTATTTTTATCATAATAGAGTCACGTGGGGCAAGTGTACGCACTTAAGGTTTGAAGTATCATATAATAAAATATTTGAAGTTAACTGGAACAAAACAAGGTTTATTATATAAAATATTTAATAATCAACAACTTAAACGCAAAATAAATAATTATCATTTACTCAAATTCTTTGGAAATCAACAAAATCAAAACTGTTTAAATGCGCACACTTACCCAAGTATAGGGGTAAGTGTGCGCAGTAGTGCGGGTAAGTGTACGCAACATGTAACATACAGTAAATAGAGTCAGACTCATACGACAAACCAGAAAATAGACATCCTCAACCTAATAATACATCAGTTCAAATATTTCCTTTTCAAAGTTATTGCATTGTTCATGCCACCAGCTCCTACAGATGCTGTATTGGATCCAGTTTTCATTCGGTGGAAATATGTATTTTTCTACACACAGTGGGCAAAATAATTCCTGCTCATCATTTTATTTATTTTCAGATCAAGTCGTATCTTCTTTTTTGGCAATTTATTCTTCCTCTTGTTTTTTCTTTTTTCCAATTCTACTTTATAAGGACTTACAGTATCAATGATTGACTTTTTGCCTATCTTTCGCCGATTTTGAATCACAGTCATCCCTCCAAGTAAATGCCTAAGGCCGCCTTAGGCATTTCTTGGATGAATGACAGTCGTACATATTCATTCCTAGACGAAGGTACACTCATTATTGCGGGTGCCACACTGTCGTTTGCTACCAACCTCCGAAATTAATCTTTTAACAGCTTCTAGCTGTTCCTCTGTGACAACACTTCTATCCGGTATATTTCTTTTATAATCGAGGCATTTTTTATGTATAATTAAACTCTGAAATAACAAATTGCATCATAAATACAAAGCCAAAGCGGAGCGGGGTAAGTATTCGCATGCGCACACTTACCCGACATTCGTATGCGCACACTTGCCCCAATACATCAAAATAAAATTTAACCAGAACTGAGCAATATTACGTAATCGTCATCACCAAAAGATTAAACACGGCTTATATTACATAAAATGTACTGTTCGATGGTATAAAGCATAATTTCAAAATATAAATATATTACAAAGGAATGAGTCTCTCATTTAAGACAAAAATCGCAATAATTCAAGCAAAAAACAATACTCACTTACGGAAACAAAATGGTTCACCGGCGGACAGTGAAAAAGTTGCACTAAGTATAGCCTTTTGTGCGCTAATGTGGAGGGGTGTTATCAGTTCGTACCTATAAACCGTTTTTGAAATACTTCGAGTGCGTACACTTACTCGCTGCGCACACTTGCCCCACGTGACTCTATATATATATATACTACACCAGTAATTACAAAATCCTTCACAATGCGTTTTTCTATGCGTAATCACTCTGCGGAACTAACAGTCAATAATAACAGACCATTCATCAGTCTCAATCAAGGTGATGCGATTAAGAATCATGGGCAGTGGTATAGTCATTTATGTACCTTAAAGACACCTACGCGTTAGTTTTCCCAATAAAAAAATAGATATACCTAATACACCAGATAGTTCTACCCATTATTTATTTATACAAACGTATATATAAGTATATAAGTATTAATAGCGATTTTTTGTTTAAATATATATATATATATATATATATATATTTATATATTTATATATATATATATATAAAAATATATATATAAATATATATATATATATATATATACCTAACATATATTTCGAAGGTTTAAGTGTCTATAGAGTATCTACATTATAGACATAGTAATAAGTTATTACTATGTCTATAAGTACATATAGATATATATGTAGATAGTGACAATAATTGCTAGATATGTTGTTACTAATAACATATCTAGCAATTATTGGCACTGCGATTACGAGAATATTTTAACACCGCTAATTCTACTCAAGTTCTAATCTTTCTAGTATATTTTCTGATTACCACTTTACTTCTTTATGATAGTTTACTTTCTGTTCAATAGGTAGGTCCTCAAGTTTTCTGGGTGTATATGTATTATATATATAAACCTTCTTTTTCAACGGTTTCTAAATCCGTTGCGTAGTTTTTAAGATTTAAGCATACATAGGTACAGACAGCGACAGTGACTTTATTTTATACTATGTAATGAAGGTTCAACAAGATCTACACGATAATGATTGTATAAAGTCTACGGAACCTTATAAACATAATCTTTAATTCTTCACTTACACTAATTACTACTCAAGATTATATTAATCTAGTCTAAAATTTATATCTATTTATCAATCTAATTATACACAGACATATAATTATCTATTGGGGCAGACTATAAAACCGGGTTTGCCTGTTCGTTTTGTCTTGAAATTTTTCGAGGCCAATTTACAAAATGAAGTCGATTGTAGTGATTGTGTTAGTGGCCGTGACCATTGCTTACTCGAAGACCATTGATGGTGGGATTCCTGACGCTTATGGATATCTCACTAAAGTAGGAATCCCATTAGGGGAGAAGATCCGTAAAGCTGAAGAGGCGATGCTTCGGGATCCCTCCAGAATCATCAATGGCGCACCAGCGGCGCTTGGGCAAATCCCTTTTCAGGTAAATCTTATTAATATTATAAACGCGAAAGTTTGTGAGTATGGATGAATATTTCTTACTATTTCACGCAAAAACTATTGAACGGATTTTGATGAAACTTTACTTACTAATATTACTTATACATCAAAATAACACATATACGCTATAAATTTCATACGGGTGAAACCGCAGGCACAGCTAGTTATTCATATGTTGTTGATTTTATTAACATAAATAACATTATTCGATTGAAAATTACAAGTAAAATATATGTCCTATGCTTAGTTACTATTTATAAGTAAAGATATTTGTATCTACAATAGCGATTAATTACGAGCAAAAAAGCGAATAAACGGTAGGTAGATCTTACTTACACTACACTATGCAAGTAATCAATACGCTTTACTATGGTATTTAGAGTTTTACGGTCGATTTAATAATTGATTCTAAAATAATTATAATGATGAATAATTATAAATTTCAAAATTTGTAAAAGTAATATGGATACTCATGGATTTACTCGTTAACAAAAACTACATTAAAGAATGACAATATTTTTGTCATTCTTTAAGGTAGTTTATACGATATGATATCGGTTATCAACTTTTTATAGCAATACCTAATCAAAACACATTGATTGTCATTCATTTGCTTGTTCAATTTTTCTACTACTGACTTGGGTTTTAGCGCTTTACTTTCTCATTCTTTACCATTCCTCTTGATACATCCTTATATCGAATACTATAATCAAATCTATTGGGAGAGCTGTATAGAAATAAATACAATAATATATTCCGTTCTAGGCCGGTCTCATCATTGACATCGTTGGTGTTACAACAGGCAGAGGTGTGTGCGGAGGTTCCCTCGTATCTGCCAACAGAGTAATCACTGCTGCCCACTGCTGGTTCGACGGCATCAACCAAGGCTGGAGAGTTACTGTTGTACTCGGTTCAGTGTTACTATTCAGCGGTGGTACCAGGGTAGAGTCTGAACTCGTAGTTGCACACCCCAACTGGACCCCAGCTCTAATTCGTAACGACGTAGGTGTTATTTACCTGCCTTATAGCGTCGCACTCTCAGGTTTGTACCTATAAATAATACATTTAAATTAAAACTGTTAACTTATATATTATTCCTATTCGGTCTATTATGTTAAACAAACAATAGTGAAATGAGACGACAGTATTTTAGTAAGAGCGTATGTTAGGCGACGATTTTGCCAATTCGATAATTGGTTTTGTAATGTATAAATTTCGGTCCCGCCTTTCTTCGACTACGAATAAGAAATTAATCGTAATTCACCTAAGACTTAATAAACAAATTATCAATTTCCATACATGAGTGACATGAGAGGGCAAATAATTACATGCCCTCTTTACGACGCTAAATTGTAATACTCCACTCGGAGAATAACTACAACAGGTATTAATTGTATTATAATTTTACAGACACAATAAACACAATCGCTTTGCCTTCTGGGGCGGAACTAGACGAAAACTTCGTTGGCGAGACTGCTGTGGCATCAGGATTTGGCATAACTAGAGATAGTAAGTGCGTATAGTATATTTTTGGTTTTAGGCCAGCAGGATTAAAGACATGAATGTCCTTGAAACGAAAGACTATAAAAAGTTATAGACTATAATATATTTGTAAGTATAAGAATTAATCAAGATCATACAGTAAAAAAAAAATTACAATTAAATATCAATAAACAATTTGTAAAATCTGGCCACCGAATTCAATATGACACTAACTGATTGTAATGCCGATAAACAAGGTGAATGGTCGTTAAAAGATACAAGATAATAATATTCTTTAATTTTTATCATTAAATACAGATATAATGTTTCAAAAAGTCGACCTCTCAATATTAAACATCTCATTTTAGTTTTAGGGACTGCACCTATGTTTATACGTTCTATGATTAGAAACGCCATAACATCCAAATTACGGGATTTATGTGATGACCTATTTTATATATTCATAATTTAATTATGAACATATAAAATCTAAGCAGATAGGTATATCTTTTATTGGTTCTGTTCAAAATTATATAAATGTATATTTAAACACAAAAAAAGCAATTTCACATTAGCAACCCTAAAAATAAATATCTGTGTAATGTTAATATTGGTAAAATGTTACAGACGGAAACATCCCTGAAACGCAGAGCCTAAGCTACGTCAGTCTAGAAGTCATAACAAATACTGCCTGCTTTGTAGCCTTCCCCATTATCATTCAGTCGAGTAATATCTGCACCAGCGGTACTAGTGGCAGCACTTGCAGCGGTGACTCTGGTGGTCCCCTCATTGTTGAGAGCAACGGAAGACCTATTCTGGTATTTAATTCCAACTAGCTTTCTTTTATACCCGCGACTTCGTCTCCTATTTTGAGATAAAGTATGTACCTCCTTATGGCAATCTCTATATATTTCATTATAGTTCAGTTGTTTAGTCGTGAAAATACAACAAATTAATAGACACACTTTTAAATTATAATAAGTGTATGGATTAATTTAAGAATTTGAAAAACGTTTCAAAGATGTATAGGTATATAAGTGCAACGATTTCTTTTACTTTGAAAGAAAAATTATTTATATTATGAATTTGAAACTAATAATGTACAAGTCATTAACAAGTCATACAAATCATCCCATTGATATATTATATATGGTATATTTTGTTGGTTATGGTGAGGTTGGTAATCCATAAAAAACATTTCTAATCGTAAACCTTTATATAGAAAATAACAAGTTGTTTTCGCTTTATTATACAGATTGGTATAACGTCATTTGGGTCTGCTTTTGGCTGCGAGATCGGTTTCCCGGCTGCTTTTGCAAGAGTCACTTCCTACGTGGACTTCTTCAACGAGAATATAGAAAACTAATTAATTCTTTAAGAAAAACATTAAATAAAGAATCTATTTATTTATTTCCTATGCGTGTTGGTTTATTTTTCTCATCTTCTTTCCTTGTATGTATTTCGGCGTCGGTTTACATTAAAACGCAAGTCAAGTTACGCCAAAGTAAACTTTCTAAACAGACGTAGTACCTCTCACTACCTATTTCACCTCGTCGTCAGCAAGTCACCGTCATCAGTTAATATTATCTCATGCAACCCTGGATGTAGGTAACACAGCACCGTGAGGTCTCAAACCAAACAGAGCTTCTGCTATGGGTACTGGACAACCGATAAAATTACTATACTTACCTAGGTACTTATTATACTTTTTTACCCCTCTGATCGATCCTGCTTCAAATTCAAACGGGGATCGAAATTACGACGGCCTGAGCTGAGGTTCGAACCCCCAGCGGTGCCATCAGACTAAAGTCGTATTCGTGAGGCAGAAGTTGACCTTCAGCCGCCCCATAAGTTCTTTTGCGGGTTTGGAGTGCCATCTGCACTCGCCCCCTATCGTCCGGTGAAGCTGTAAAAGCCAGCTGCGGCCAAAAGCATTAGAGTAGTCCGAAAAAAATATACCTACTTATACTTTTTCTAAATCATCAGCTATGCAATATTATATACGTAATGCACTATTAAATAAATTACAGTTGATAATTGTTGCAAACTTATCTACTTACGTGAACTTACTAATAGTAAATTCATATCCCTTTAGGTCGTTCTTATTACTCCACCATCTGGGTCTAAAGTTAACGATTACGCAAGCGAGTCTTTATTGCTTCGGGTTCCAACTAATGAGTTTAAATACCTAATAAAATATAAGTTATAGTTTTTGTATAAATATTTCATACAATATTATTTGTTATTATCTAGTAATAATACAATACTGCAGTCTAAGTTGTACCTAGTTTCAATAGAATCAGTTGATCTACTTATTACATATTTTAATTTTAATTTAATAATTTCCGATTTAAAATAATTTCTTTTTTATTTGTACCTTGTATTCGTTCAACTCTTTTTCTGACACATGGAATACCAACTCTGATTATGTCGATGTCTCTGAAACATAAATTATTGATAAAGATATTTAATAATAATACTAAAGATATTCAGCATTACATCAGTATTCTTATTCATTATATATCTTATATAGTATTTACTATATCGTCTGCATGTGAATCTCAACCAGGTGCATTGATGCAATTGTAAAACACCAAATTGTAAAAAATCGTGTAGTTTATATATAATAAAACGTTGATATAATGAACGGTGTAACAAAATTAAATATTGAAGAATAGAAAAACAAATGACAATCGTAATCTAGAGAACACAGCGTTCAATATTTGAATATTACAAAATAAATGATTGAAGAGGTTTTAATTCCTATTTTTGTTGAAGTTTCCAACTGTCTATACGCGTTGTGTATAATTTCTGTTTTATATGTTTTGTGTAGTAATTTCTTCTTCTTGTATTAGTTCAGAAAGTACCTATTATAATGAATTACTAGTGATTGCGCCATATATCGATTATACTAACAATCAGTTTGCCATATTTTTAGAAGCATAGATATAATTAATATCTTAATAGGTAACTTTGCTATATCCTTGTTTAAATTATTGTGTGTTTACTAAAATACTCTTTACGATATGCGTAAAACGAACCGTGTGTGGTATTACGGAGCGTTTTATCAATTTTCGTTGAATGTTGAATGACAATGCGTATTTTTTTGACAGATTCTTGACGTTCTGTTCCGAAATCCCATTTTCCCATCAGTATTGCTAATTTAGTACATTCAAAGCCACATTAGCTATAATTTAATACTCGACAAACAAAACTTGTCATAAATTTTTAAATCATTTCTGTTTCTAACAGCTCTTAATATAACTAATTTCATGTAAAAATTAGTAAGGCAATGTCGGGTTTTCAATAATGGTTGCAGAATAGTCTTGATGAAAAAAAATAGTTTTGTGCAAAATCAAAGACTGGCAACTATTAGTCTAATCTAGCTATTTCGTAAAGGCATTATATGACAGCACTGGTTGTCTTGGTAGAAATTACTCTGTACAGTCTCTGAAGCTGTGGCTTTAGATAAATAAATTGTACTAGTGCTTTCTAAAATAATTGTTATAGAATATGGAAGAAATTGGAATTATTCTACCCGAAAAGGTGATTTGGTATTGAGACATTACTTTAAATGGAATATTTATTGAATAAATGAAATAATTTACTCTTTGTCGTAACTTCTAGGATGAGCAAGTCATCGACACTAAGGCACTCACTGGACCTCAATCCTTTGACGAACTGGAATCTGAAGATTTATATACGAAATATAAGGTATTATTACTATTTACAATAGTTTATTAATAATTATGTAATTTTTTTTCGAAAATACAACTAATCTAACAGAGCTAAACAATTATTATTTTATTGTCATTGTACTGTGCTGTGAAACTATGGCGTTGTTTGTATTCTGTAATTTTTATAAAGTGACTCTGTCGTAAGTTTATATACTAAAGTCAATAATGCAGATATAAGTATCATTAAGGTAACTAAAGACTGTTTATTATTATCTTACAGAAACTACAGCGTATGTTAGAATTTTTAGAGGTACAAGAAGAATACATCAAAGATGAACAAAGGAATTTGAAAAAAGAATATCTACATGCTCAGGAAGAGGTGAAACGCATACAGTCAGTGCCATTGGTAATTGGACAGTTTTTGGAGGCAGTCGATCAAAACACTGGGATAGGTACAAATTTTTGTTTATTACTTTAGCATATTACACATTCTCTTACATTTCCACCAAAATGCATATTGCTACCCACATGTGGTTACTATGTCTCATAACTCACACAGGATTTAGTAAGCAAAATGTTAACTACATACCTTATAATATCATCATAATCTTATCCTTAAGTGTTTCACTAGCATATATCTTCAGTGTACCAAAAAAGAAACACTTTCTTATAATACACATAAATACAAATTCAAATGTCAGTCAATCTCTGATTACAACACTTGTCAGTTTTAATAAAGCTAATAATTTTTTCAGTTGGCAGCACCACAGGTTCAAACTACTATGTGCGCATTCTATCAACAATAGATCGTGAACTGCTCAAGCCCTCAGCATCTGTAGCTCTGCACAAGCATTCTAATGCTCTTGTGGATGTACTCCCACCTGAAGCAGACAGCTCAATTTCTATGCTGCAAGCCGGTAATTAAACCTTTGACATTGTATAATTTTAGATAAGAAAAACTCATTTTTTAAATCAACTAACTAACTAATAAGAGGGAGACTTTCTACAAAATATTTTTTCATTGAACTTCAATTTTTCTTCAGTAATATTACTGCATATTGTTAATGTTCAGGAAATTTATAATTTTTTAGCTATATATTTAAGCATAACTTAAATTACAGAATGTTTTCACTATTTGATTACTAACCAATGCTGCAATTTAATAAGTTACCAAATATTGCAGTAACAAATTTATTATGTGTGTTAAATTATTGTAGGCATAAAGTTAAATATGTTACTCCAATATTTGATAACTTACTAAATTGCAGCATTGTTTGATAATCAAGTACCAACTATCAAGACTACTAAATTGGTTACCTTGATGTTACAAATGCTACTTTAGAGATCAGGCTCCTTGCACATAAATACAGTTCTTGTCAACCTCCCGTTTAAATTTTATATGACAACTTGTCTTAGTTTAAATTATATACCTTATTCCACACAGATGAGAAACCTGATGTCCAGTATTCAGATATAGGTGGTATGGACACACAGAAGCAAGAAATAAGAGAAGCAGTTGAATTGCCCTTGACACATGTTGAGTTATACAGACAAATTGGTATTGAACCCCCACGAGGTGTGCTTATGTATGGACCACCCGGATGTGGCAAGACCATGTTAGCCAAAGCTGTGGCTCATCATACCACAGGTAAGAATTATTCAAACTAATATCTTTATACCTATCTTTGACAGCTTTGGCGGTTTAGCAGTTAAGCACATTGCTTTACCTCCAATACTTACAGGTTTGATTCCTCATGCTATGCAAACTTTTATGTTCATGAGTATGAGTGTGGGTATCGGTCTGGGTGTTCTCTATCTATATTATGTATGTATAACAAAGACATTATCAAGTATTTATATCAGTTGTCTAGTACTCATAACACAAGCTCTGCTTACCATGGGACCAGATAGCACTGAATTTTCCATGATTATTTACTAAATACTTCTATTATGACTTTGGAGGTAGATAACGTAAGAAAAGATGAATGGACTGTGTCAAAGATGATGGATGAGTGAAATTTTTGTGACATAAACTGAAATTAATGGTGTAATTGTCCAACTGCTGCTTAAGTTATATTAATAAAGTTGTCATAACAACACTGACCAACCAACTGTTAATAATTATGACTAGCTTAGTTGAAAAATATTATAAATTAACCATTGTCATATAAAATAATTACAGCTGCATTCATTCGTGTGGTCGGTTCCGAATTCGTGCAAAAGTACCTGGGCGAGGGGCCGCGTATGGTTCGTGATGTCTTCCGTCTAGCCAAGGAGAACAGTCCAGCTATTATATTTATTGATGAGATAGATGCTATCGCAACTAAAAGGTATACAAAATCTATATAATGTAGACAAAAAATGTTATTTAATGTATTTACTTTAGTTTTATAAATTTACTCTAAGAATTTAAATAGGCCAATTTGTGCCCAACTACTGAGCTAAGCTTGCTCAATCCAGCTATGAGTTCAGTGATTTTACCCAATTAATTTTTTAAAATTATTTTTGCTCAGATTTGATGCCCAAACTGGCGCTGATAGGGAGGTCCAGAGAATCTTGCTGGAGCTTTTAAATCAAATGGATGGTTTCGATCAAACCACCAATGTTAAAGTAAGTTTTATCATTGATCTTGTTTACAATCTTTTATATTGTATTTATTCTATATTTTCTTCATACAAAATGTTTTATTTTATTTAGGTAATAATGGCTACAAATCGTGCTGATACTTTGGATCCTGCCTTGCTTCGTCCTGGACGTCTCGATAGGAAAATTGAATTCCCACTTCCTGACAGGTAGATCTTGGATATGAACATTTTGTTTAAATTAGTATAATAGTATCTGAAGATCAAAATTTGCGAGTTACTTCATTACTTCATCATTAAAGTCGTAAAATTAGCTGGAGAATATAAAAATGATCAAAGGAAACCCAAACAATTACTTATTCATTTCTCCACAGACGTCAAAAACGACTGATATTTTCAACTATTACGGCGAAAATGAACTTATCTGAAGAGGTTGATCTGGAGGAGTTCGTAGCGCGACCGGACCGTGTCTCTGGCGCTGATATCAACGCCATATGCCAAGAAGCAGGCATGCACGCTGTTCGAGAGAACAGGTATAAGATATTATGACTTGTGTTCCAAGTGAAGACTAATTTGTTTTACACAATGTTCATGTATTTTAAACGGCGTCACTGGTTAGAACCTAGGTCGTGACAGAAGCATGCATTGTAAATAGGAAATATATCTATATTCAATGTTTTATTGTCATATAGATTATCAAAATAATCACTAAAGACTGTTTTTCCACGCTAATAAGTTACAAGTATAATCTATATGATGAGTATTTTAAAATATGCAACTCCAATATATGGTACACAAAGTTATTATGTATTTTTTTCTTAAACATACAGTACATAACAGCCACACTGAGTAATATTTGTACTGCCTAAGGTTTTGTCTCATGGCTTTTGCCCATAGTGATATGTAATTTTCTTTTTCAGGTATATTGTGTTGCCGAAAGATTTTGAAAAAGGATACAAGAATAACATCAAAAAAGATGAGAGTGAATATGAATTTTATAAATAAGCTTTGTTGTCTCATTATATTTTAATGCAAAATTATATATTAACTTAAAAATAAGTATTTTACTATCACAGTTATCGCCTTGTAAGTTAGTACTCAATAGTATATTACTCAATATTAATATTAGTAGTAGTTTTTTAATATTTTTTACGACAATTTCACTACACGATACAAGTTTTTATGAATAAACAATAGGTATATTAATTACCTCAGATCAATAACACACCCAAAGTACATGCAGAATCAGTAAACACAATTGTTTTTATCTACAGTAAAAGAGTATCCTAAGATGTTATTTCAATTCAAAATTTAATTGAATATGCAGCTGAAACACTGCCAATAACTAACTGACCTTAAAAATTCCATGTGAAATGTTAACGTTCAATCCGCCATATAAAATAGCAGGATTAAGTCTCAAACACGGAAAACTGCACACACTATATGAATTAACGAAGATCCAAACAACTTTTTGGATGAGAATAAACCACCAAAAACATTTTAATTGATAATTAAATGCATAGATGATAAAATATAGATGTCCTCATACAACATGTGCCACCATTGCTTTATAAAAATGTACATGCTTGCAGCATTTATTTTGATAACAGAACCGATCTGAATAACGCTCAAACAATTTTAGAATATAATTGATAAAAATGCATAAGTATATAATGAATCTGTCCAATTGTACTGTACTCAATGTATGAAAGAGTAATGAGTTTTCTTTCATGTGAAAACTGTTATCGGATTTACGACAGGGAGTACATCAGCATGAGTAGTATAACACTCTTATATAGATTTAGTGTGTCACATAGTAGATACATCAAATTTTACCTACCTTATTGATGACTGCAAAAAATCTATTGTAATATATCAAGTGGGTGTTGCGTTATTAAAATACGAGTGTTACAGATGTAAATATAAATAAAAAATATATTATTACTTCAAATTCTATATTTTATAACAGTTCTTATCAACAATGCGATATAGAATTACAATATATTTGGCATATACCTCATTAAAACGAAGTCGTAACTAATGAATAATAAATTACAAAATGGAAATGTTCTTGAGTATGAATTAGATATTTTGTGATGAGTGATATATTAGAACTCTGACTTATACATAAAGTTTTAACTAATGTAAGTACCTAAATAACAACAGGTGCAATAAGTATAATATCTAGTTGTAGGCTATGTTAAGGCACTAAGTCTAATTTTAAGGCTATATGATATTAACACAGACATGTGCAATGAAACAGAACTATAAAACTTCATAATCTCAATTCTAGCTGCCTAAGTCATAAATGATTAAGTTTTTATTTATAATACCACCGTGGGATTATTAAAACGGATATGGCATTTCTATATTATCTGTGCATATAGCAACTTAAAAACTTTTACAACAGTGTTGAAATTGTACAAATATAACAAAAAATAAACCATCTTTATAAATGCACTTCATACGGTAATACTTCTTATTCAATGCATATAACTTGTCCGTCGAAACAGTCAGTACAAAACGGAAAGTTTTAAAAACTGATGAGTTGGCCATTGGGGGGGATTAACACCTGTCTGTACAAAATAAATTAAATAAATTAACAGCGGCAGTATTTTCTACTTTAATACAACACTGTGTCAAAGTAATGGAGAAACTAGTATCATAAGGGCATCGTTTTAAGCACGAAGTTAAAATCTCGGTATGATGTCATACTAATAAATACTCAACATAGTAATGGTGGATTTTAAATATTTATATCACAGGCATTATTTTTCTATATGAATTCATAATCTGAAGTAAATCAATACTCGTGTGAAATAAGAGTTAAAACATTTCAACAACATTAGTTGCTATAGCACAGACTAGAAATTTCAATAGTTAACTATATTTTACAACGACCCAAATCAAGAATTCGGGTAAAATTAAATTCATTTGACCACTCGTGACGACCATATTTTAACAAACATGGTTTAAATACTTATCTACATATTCGTAGATCTAAATAGATCTCCTATTTTGATTCTTTGTTTAATATTGCATAGTTTTTATACAAATTACTAGTATACATATGCAAAATGTAAATGTATTAGTTTTTTATGAAATCAAAACAGAAGACCTATACGGATAGATAGTACATTTTAAATTGTTTTCGACTCTAAATTCAACATTTATTCTGAACACATTATTTAATTTATACAAAATTGGATCGGTAAAATCACAGTTCAATATTTGAATTTTTAGAAATATATTTCTTCTTTTGCTTATGTAAGATTACAATCCTGAGTACTATTGAATGTGGGCGAATGTAAACTCCAGTGATAGAACAATTCATATCGTAGTCTGACGGATCTCACCTCAACAATTCAGGCCTATTTAAAAAATATCATAGCAATATCGCTGGAAGATGACCAATTTATTATGTACGGACAATTCTCAATATATTTTTTTCATCAGCTGGTATCATACCACAATCTTCATACAAAATAATTAATTAACATTTATTGGGAATGTAGATGAAATGAAACTTTATTAATAAATATTAACGTCGAATATAAAACACCACCTAAGTACAACGCGTCTTCATAACAATATAAGTACATAAGCGATTTGTCATTTAATACTGATTTCAAAAAGATTTTACTAACGTTCACACATTAATTACTCATGCATAGAACGCATCTTTAAAATAGTCATTTATTAAAATAGGTTTCATTTTTAATATCAAAAATTGTCATGTATTAAAATATTAAGTGTGATTATGACAATTAAAAATTTTTAAACAAATTAATATAATTATAAATATATTTAACTAATAATATGATAATACGATGATAAGTTATTATAAAAGTATATAATTTAGATAAGACACTTGATGTAAAGGCAACGAAATAACATTATCTAAGTAATGTGTATGCCGAACCTATACATAGATACTATTGTGACTTTTTTTACTATATTACAGCATACCGTTTACACCATATTTTATTTTAAAAAAACCTTTGAAATAGTCGTCAGGTATATAAAATTATGTCTACATGCATTCTGTTTCTCCATCTCTTATGTTTATTGGGGTATCTCCAACAATCTAGCTCCTAACAATAATACTTAACACTACTAAAAAATTTATATAATACTCGTAAGAGCTGCGCAAATACAAAAATAAATTGATTGCAAATTACTGTTGTACTATTACTACAACAATCCTCAAAACCAACAAACATTTATTTTATGGCAATAACACACATCAAAAATAATATAACAAAAATATTACAATACAATTCATTAATAAATGATCTTATATGAATTAAATGGAATATTTATAATGAAAAAAAGTAAGGAATGTTATCATTGGTAGATAAATCTTGGAAAATATATATATTCGTAGCATTACATACAAAGTTCAATTAAAAGAAAAATACCATTATAATTGAAATTCAAAGATCTATAGTAAAAAATACAACGAACAAAATATTTACTATATGATTACATATATTTTATAGTAATTGGAATGATTTCACTGGTTATAATAATATAGTGTAGATTTGTAAACAAGAAAAGTAATAAGTTGTATTTATAACAACTTTGGCTTATCATATAACATTAACTCACATGTATAAATAAGCAACAAGATTTGTTTTCTTCTGTATCAGCTGCGAGGTGGGATTGTCTTCTTCATCTGAAAAATATAAAATGATAAGAATTTTATATTTTAGGAACGATTTCTTTATCGCACAATGATATTTTTCCGAAGCAGATATTTGCGCATGATAGATAGATATTATAATTTATTTACCTTCAACACATACAAGCAAAGAATACTAAAGCTTAAATAAAATATCCAATAAAAACAAAATAAAAATAAAAACACTGGTGTGCCGTAATTATTCTGCTGGTACCTCTTCTAAATATAAACAAATAAAAAAAATATACTAACTGTTCATTCGAATGGTGGTGCGGTTGAAGATGTTGCTGCGGATGGGGCTTGAGGTGGGGATGGGGATGGGGCGGGGGCGCAGGGTGCTGATGAGTCGGATGAGGCGGATGGTGCTGGTTGTGGGGCATGAGCGGCACCAGCAGCGCGGGCGGGCCGGCGCGCCGCAGGAACGGGTGGTGCAGCAGCCGCGCCGCCGACTGCCGCTGCGCGGGGTCCCGCACCAGCGCGCAGTCGATGAACGCCAGCAGGTCGGCCGGGCAGCGCGCAGCCAGCCGCGGCCGGGGCGGCGGCATGTCGCGGATACGCCGCATCGCCTACCGACCGAACACGCTTTATAGGTACGCTTTGACGCAGGAAATGTGTATGTACATGTAGACAAATAGAACCAGAAAGGGCGCGCGCGCCCCCAGTCGCTACGCCAGTTCGGGCTTACGGTTTGTCAGTCCTGTGTTTTTTAATGCGCTTTTTTATAATAAACTAGCGATATCGCCTTGACTTAGCACGGCGCGGCCAAGACGGCAGCATGTCGTGGATACGCCGCATCGCATCGACAGTTGCAAATGTATATATTTAATTAAAAAAGTGTTTAATTAACAAAAAACTTACCTGTAGAGGTGGTTCGTTGAAGAATGGAGGTTCTCCATCAACCATCTCCACTACCATAATACCCAAAGACCATACATCTACTTCAGGGCCGTATGGCAATCTCGATATAACTTCAGGTGACATCCAATATGGCGTTCCCACAAGCGACTTACGCTTTGGTAATTCCTAGAAAACATAACAATTATAATGAATTATCATTAATACCACATAATGTTAATAATTCATGAGGTATCTGTTATTGGCTTTACTAACTACATAAGTAATACTATATATTGTCTATAAATTGTATAAGCTGTTGATTACCTAAAATAAATAAATAAATAATAATGAAAAAAATAACATACTTGTGAAACTTGAGCGCAAAAACCGAAATCCGATAACTTGACCCGTCCGTCCGCCGTCATAAGTATAGAATCTGATTTAATGTCTCTATGAATAACGCCTTGACCATGAAGAAATGCCAATGCCTGAAATAAACATTATATATCATTGCAGGAACATTGATCTAATTTTAGTTCTACTACTCAATGACATTTCTAATAATATCCAAACAACATATCTTTTTTGAAAAATTTCAAGGAATCAATACATTTGAAATTGAAAAGCGCCCTATCAAAATATAAGCTTGTTTTACATTATTAGATTATAATTAAAGTATATTTTTTATGGAAACAATTGAAATTGTTGTACACCAATTAATTCTTCAACTTTTATTGCTATTTTACTAGACACATCATATTTTTAATTAACTAAAGCAAATATACTTAAGACTATATTTATGTTATCAATGCCATCGCTCCTGAAAACCATCTTTGTTAATTCCAAGTAAATTCACTGAGGATCACTGAGGCATCGCCAGCGACCTTAAGCGCAGGTGGTGGTATTCCATTATCACCTATTAAAAAAAACATATAAATCACCTTGAGGCACTGTTTGCAAACAGTAGCGATCTGCTCAGGGTCCATCTTGACCGAATGCCTTGTGACGATGTCCGTGAGTGCGCCGCCCGCCATGTACTCCATCACCACCCACAGCTCGTCGCCCACTAAGTACGACGCATGCATCTCCACTATATTCGGATGTGGGTAGTCACGCATTATCACCTGTAATGGTAGACGTATATTTTAAAACATATATTAGAAGAATAAATATCAAGTATAATACTGGGACATTTATTATCGATCACAATATTTTTTATAATTGTTGTTAACTAATTTAATATCTTACTATATTTTGACAAATCCTATAATATTTGTGAAAAATATAAAATTAATTTGCCTATGTATAATATGTTGTATGTACTTAACTAATATTACATTTAAAGGTTTGCTGTATATTAGTGAAATCCATATTAAAATCCGTTGCACGGATTAGATATAAGCGAAAAACAGAGACGAAAACAACTACTTTATGGTTTTGTGCAATAAAGAGTAAACTCACCACTTCATTGAAAAGTAACTCTCGCCTCTGTTGCTTGAGCAAGTTCATCATCTTAACGGCGACGCGGCGGCAGGTCAAAGTGTCTGTGGCAGCGCAGACCACGCCTGTACTGCCCACCCCAATCTTACTGAAGCCAGTCAGTGTGCAACGTGGGTCACCTTCACTGACTACCAGCCTCAGGGCAGCTCGGAACTGTTTAAATAACTCTTATTTAAATATGATTGTATTATATATTACTTCAAGGGCCATACAAGGAAAGAAGTGGAGTGGTAGGAAGTGTACAGTTTATGTAAAAGAGATTGTTTATATGCATGTACTATATGTTTACATTATACTTGGAAACTTCAGAAGAAAATTAGGTATTAAGTAACACAGTGGTATGTAGAAATTCATTAATTCTCTTGACAACTTCCTTTTGTAAATCTCTATACAACAACACCAACAATATTTTTCTTACCGACCTAAATATACTGCAAAACCCATAATACAACAATATTACAAAGCCATCTATGGGTACTTATATTTCATTCATGTCTGTCACCAGCAGTTTATGGTGTGAAATTATGGAATAACAATATTTTGTGATGCAACAGTGTTCATGCATATAGAACTCAATACATAGGCTAGTCTAAACTAGGTTCACACTTTTAAATAAATAGATTGTCTGCTAAAAATATTGTCTAAAATACTGCTAGAGTATTTACTTAATATAAAATATAATATAACAATACCTGTTCATGAGTCAGTCGTAGCTCATGCTTTGATGCTAGTGGAAGATGTTGTGAAGCCACTGGAACCCCCCCATGCTGGTGATGATGTTGAGACGCTGGTGCTGGGTATGCATCCACTATTAATTACACATATTTAAAAATTTTAATATTAAAACATACAGCAACATCAAATAACAGCAATTAAATAACTATACTATTGCTCAATGGAGACCACTGAAAATCCTAATTGTCATATTTTTTAGTCATACATAGAAAACAATTTTAAACTTAGGCAATTTATTGCATCTGGTACATTCACTTTTTAATCATATAGCCTATAAACCAATTTTGATGAATGATTGAATGTTGTTCAGTTAGATGGGGACATGAAAAATAGTCAATTAAATATTTTTGAAAGCTGATCCCATTACTATTAGTATTTTTTATAAAATTAGAATTTAGAATAGAAAATAATCAAAGTATTTTTTCAAATTTGAATTCATGACCTTTGTCAGGGTAATAAACCACCACATGACAGATGTAACAAACTCTCTCTCTCTCTCTTTACCATTCTTTATTTGTCTATAGACTATAGTATTAATATATATTGTCACCTCTATTAATATTGTTCCCATTGAGCCCTTGATGTACATTATGAGGTATTTGCTGAGGTGGATGATTATGTTGATAAGGTACATTAGCATTTTGTATATTCTGGTATGTCAAAGCTGGATTATGATTGTCATTGTGCTCTGTGCCTGGTCTAACTGATGGATCAACCTGTTGGCCTGCCCAGTCGTAATCTGACATAATTTTTCTCATAAAGGCTTTATGAAGTGATTCTTCATGTGGTGCAGGTGGCACTGGTGGCGATTCTTCAGGTACAGGTGGAGGCACATTAGCCTGATTGCGTAAATCTCTTCGTATCCGTGGTGGGCTAGTACTTCTCAAAGAATTTGACCTGGCAACATTTGAGGTCTTCGGCAGAACAACACCATTCTGTATTGGCTGTGTTGGTATAGTAGTAGACATTGGACGAGCAATTGAGGATACAGAAGTCACTCTATGTTCACCTCTAACCACTGTTTTTAAATCTAAAATCTCGGTGGGTGTAATTTCTGAGGGATCGACTAAAGGTAATGGCCTGTTAGTTGATTTTAATATCTGTAAAAATATACAAGAAATAAGTTAGAAACTGTTTGACAAGTATAAACTGTCATTTAAGTTTCAGTACATACATAGTATAAGTAGTAATAAAAGATCTCTCTAATCCTAAAATATCTACTCAAAATTATATGTATTATAATTTTATATGAACAATATCAACTTTGATTTGGCTTTCAAATGATGTTTTAGCAATTCAGAATCACAAGACAATGCCACTAAATGTATTCAATGCATGCAATGTAATCATACAATTTAAATAAGTATTATATCATATCATCACAAGTATTATATTGAAACAGTAAAAAAATAGTGATGAAAGAAAAAAAACTCACTTAAAAATAATATCAAGGGACATGTGTTATTTCATTTATGCATAATTATACATTCTATTATACTACTACTAAAAAAATTGAGGTGCCAATAATACAGTAAGAATGTCATTTAGAGCAGGGCAATTATATGGAGAGGTAACATTACAAAACAAGTACCTGATTATTTCCAACAAGTGAAGCCCATTGTAGTGGCAGTCCCACAAACTTGCCCTCCTGTTTGTCAAAACCAGTGTGGACTCTGTGTTCAAAATTACTTGGTGGTGAAATTAATGGCTTCTTTTTCTTTTTTGAAAACATTCTCACTCAATTTTGTTCCCTGTAATGTTACAATTAGAGAAAATATATCATTAGTAAGAAAAGATACGTGTTTTATTCATAACCAAATTACAAATGCTATAAATACTTTAAAAAACATTTATAAACAAATTGGTCCTCAATGCGTAATTATTTTATTTGAAAGCACTGCTGATTTTCACTGTCTGTACACTGCAATACAACATAATAAATTAATGAATAATTGATGAATTTTACTTAATTATTTAAAATCTTTGACTTTGAAATACTTTGTATAGTACAATGAAAAAGAAAGCTCGCATAACCAATGTACCTACTTTCTTTTACGACAGGTGAATCAACAATTACTAATGTACTGGACAATTTACAATATTATGATTATTTAAATATTCTGAGTATAATCTGATAGTTAACGAATAACAAACTTTTAAGGACAATACTAACCTTCATATATAATTATTATACTAAAAAGGGAAAACAGAATAACAAAAAAACTAATACGACATTCCTGAGTAGCCATTCATATTTCAAGCAAATTGAATTAACGTAATAACATTATGTTTCAATAAAATCAGAATAAAAGTATTTGTATATGTTTTTTTACAAAAAATAAGTACCTACCTATTAATTAATAACACTTAGAAAAAAAAGATATCGATTTTTGTACCTGAAAAGAAGTAAAAAATGTTTAATACCTATAATAAATAGATAGTAGTTTTTTTTTTTAATTTATTAACGGGCACGGATGTATGTACAGAGTAACTTGGAATAATAGATAGGTATAGAAAACTCTGCTTAAAATTTATAATTTACATAACATTCTATGATAAGCATTTTTTTTTAAATAGTACTTATTTTACACCATTCATAGTACATATCCTGCAAGCTAGAAACTTATGGCGATTATTGCGAATTAATCGCGCCTCATTCTCGGGACATAATGTTTTTGATTGGAGCTCAACTCAATCAACAAATCCACTGAGCAAGTAATCACTGAGTTATTTTGTCGTAACTCTGGTACATTGCCATTTCCGAGAACTAAGATGTTATTTATGCATTCTTACCCTATGTCTTGACGAGTTGTCCTAAAATTTATAGTAATTTGCTCCAGCTTGAGAATAAACTGCTTGTAACTTTTAAAATTACAGATTTTAGAAAGATCGGTCGTCTGTCTTGCTTTCTGCTACTAAATTACTTTTAACATATTGATGATCAAATTAATAATTTAATTTAATAGCATTTGAATACTTTGATTAATTAAAAGCACAATTGTTTGGATTACAATAGATATTAAAATTGCCTTCCTTCAGTCCTTTTAGACACTCCTGTCTGTAAATCGTAAAAATTTTGTGTTTGCTTCGAGACGAGGTGCACATTCATAGATTCAATAATGCGGATAATGAGCAGCGTTTGATAATCTATAATAGATTCTAGCCGCAATAGTTGGCATATACTTGTGTAAGTAGGCATATTAGTACTACACAATAAAAAGTATTAAGTGAGCAACCCAAGATTGTCAGAGAAACTAGACAATTCGAATTCTGTTTTTTTTTTATAACTACTGACTTAGACTGAACCGGTTCCGGTTTGATGTCGACTTCTAAGATAGCCTGTATATATACATATACAATCACAGGACCACATACACATAGTATAGTACTATAAACAAAATAAGGAAAATGCAAGAATCTGTGAATGGTGGGAGGATTTTGTGAGGTGGAACTGTTAGATGTACTTAGCTCCTTTTTCTGTAGTGATATATAATATTTATCCTAATTCACTATGTATGACTGAGTGAAATCGTGATCACACTTATTAGATGTGTGTTAGAAGCGCTATGCAGAAAATATAATTAACTTGTATTCAATTGATTGAAAAAAAATAACTTGGAAATATTATAAATATTATGTATTAATAATTAAGATTATTTGTCTTCGTTCATCATTTCTTCTATTAATCTTTGTCTTTCAGCAGCTTGTCTCATTTTTGTTAAAACTAGCGATTCATAATCTCTATCTGATATTAGTGATGGTCCTCCAATATTTTTTTCTTTTGATACAATAGGTTTCTCATTTAACCATTTGAATGTAAGTGGATTATCTGCTAAACCTACAATCACAGAAAACAACAAGAGATATTAGTCAAAATTGATATACATACAAACACTAATGAATTAAACATTCCCTGAGGTGGAATTGGCACATATGTGGGAATCTTTGTCTGAAATTGATGATCTATGTTGTTATGGATTCTCAGTTTGATCCATGACTTAGTCCTTGTGAATGGAATGGCAATGCATGAGAGGCTTTACATAATAATATGATGTCTATGATGCTGTTCACATATATGAGCAAACATTTTCAACTAATCATTAGGTGGGTTTGCTGCTTATTAAGTCCTCTAATGACATAAAATTAATGATAGTAATACTACTATGTATTAAACTAATATTATTGTAGTAGTTGGTTTAGTTAGTTTATTATTATATATACCTTTCTCTAATTCAACAGCCATTTCTGATGCCTCCTTTGTAGCAAATTCAACTAATGCACTTCCTTTCTTTTTAGGAGACATAATTATAGCTACAATAGTACCATATTTCTTTAAAAATCGTCTTAATAGGTTTTCATCATAACCTCCGTTATTTTGATCATTGTTGTCCACTTTCCATTTGATTTTTATTCTATTCAAAGACGAATCCCAAACTGGTTGTTGTCCTTTATTTTTCTCTATTTCTTCTTTAACCCGTTTTTGCTCTTCTTGTAGAAGTCTACTGCCTTCTTTCCGTAATCTCTCTATTTCAGCTGCAAGTTTTTGTTCATCTGTTAAATTATTTGCACCAGCACCAGATACTGCCTCCTTTTCACGTCTTTCAAGATCTTCTTTAAGTTTTTGTCTCTTACTATCTAATTGTTGATGTCTTAACTTAGCTGCTGCTTTAGCTTTTAAAACTTTATCATAAGCAGCTCTAGCCTGTACATCTGTTAGTATTTCTAGAGCATGAGATAATTCATGAAATGTCTCAGCTGCTTTGGGATCATCTGGGTTCTTATCAGGATGGCATTGTAAAGCTTTCTTTCTGTAAGCCTTTTTGATCTATAAAATGTTGAAAGGATAATTTAGTTAAAATATATTATATTATTCAGGCATAAAATTATGGGTATAAAAATTTAAAAATTCTATTTTACTATTCAAGTTACTACCTTAGGTGATTTATATGATATAAAGTGAGTACTTTTATATCAAATATGTATCTGATCAAATGTAACATATAATGTAACCCACAATGTTGGTATATAATATTATATTTATATTTTATATAACATCAGCCACACGGGTAGTGTAGTGTAGTGACAGAATATGATACTCTATTATGTTGAATAAAGCAATGTATCGAAATACTAACAATATACCAGTATGACTAGTGAATTTCGAATAAAAGCCTGTACCAAGTCTATTTGCTAGTATACAGTAGTTTCTTTCTGCTGTTATGTGGAGACTCCTGGCAAGATATGTTATGGAATTCTTATTGTTAACACTATTAAATTTAAAGATAAGCGGTTACTCATTACTTTCTATATGTTGGATATTAATGCACTTTTTATTAATGTTCAATTTAACATTAATACAAAAAACTAATGTACTTACCTCAGCTTCTGTTGCGGTAATTTGAATATCAAGTATAGCATATAAATCAATGTCTTCAATGTTTTTCTTGGACATCTTTAAAATTCAGTAACTAAAATCGTTTAAATGAATATGGTGAAATGGTGAAAACAGCAGAAATTTTAAAGTAGAACAAGTTTATCGTATTTTTGAAATTCATAAATCTTCAGAGGTTGCATATTTGTTTCGGTGCATTGTGTAATTTTAGTATTTATTAAGTATGTAACAATTTTGAAGGGATATGTAAATTATTTCAATTTCAATAAATGACAAACAAAACACGAGACAACAAGATAAAAATTGTAAATATAAAAGACTACAAGATTTATAAATACATAACAATAAAGAGTACACCAAAAGGAATTAAAGGAATAGCCATAGACTAACAAATATATGTTTTTAGTGCTCAGTAGAGATGTTAGTATCATTATAAAAAGATCGACATTTAGTGAGTGGAAAATATCGATATAAGGCCTCGATAATAACGACAAAAAACAAGTTAAATACAAAACAAAACATTTGCTTTCTGTATAAAATGCCTTACCGGCCCAAAAAAATCAGGAATACAGTAAAACAGAACAACCACAATGTTATATGAACATAGAGTATCATATATATAATTGTACTTGTCTAATAAATTCTGTCATTGTAAAGTTACGTATAACATCATATCGTTGATTTTATTAATAATACCAATTAAAATCTAGTTTGGATCACTCGGAATATCTCTCAATTCAACACACAAACCACATGTTTCTTTGATTTGAACAAATGTCGAATGTTATAATATATGATACTTAGATTAGATGTGTATGTATACAACACGATAAAATAACTTGCCACTTTCGAAAATTTTGTCATGAATTGAATAAAGCTGCCATATTTCGTACTTTAGACTAAAAACCTCCTAGTAGATAAATGACAGATGGATGACGATCTGTGTGCATGACAGAGCCTGATCTGTGGCTCTGTGCACACTTCACCATATTATTTCAATTTTTATTGTTTATTTTCTTATTAACTATTTTGGTTATAAAGCAGATAAATAAAATTTCATCTGAATCATTGTTATGTAATGATATGACTTTTGAAAAATAAGCACTCATTGTATAAAACCATTATTATAATAATTTACAAAATGTTGTGCCGAAAACTAAGTAAGTACGATATCAAATTACTTATTATATTTTCAGTATACAATACAGTCGGAGTGCTTTACTTTGTATATTACCATATTAACTTTGGTATAGGAAAAATATTAATATACTTGAAACCAACGGGCTACTATTACTTGACCAAGTCGGTGGCATGGTAAAAGTTGCTGAAAAAAATCTTATTATTAGGAGCCTTTCAACTAGTCTGACCAGATTTGTCTTATTTGTCATTTTTCAGTATAAAATCCGTTTATACATATCAGATTTTTATTTATGTTAACATAGAAAATTGTTGATACAATAAAAATAATTTTCAATTCTTACTACAATTTAAGGTTAATGGTAAAATAGTTTCTGGAAATGTGAATGTCAGTCCATATTACGACTCCGCTTTGTGTTGTGTGTTACTAGTTACTAATAAGACATTGTAGAACATAATAAAATTAAACTTAATAATGCGACTAGTATAATTATTGTACCTGTATACTCTCTACCTGTATTCTGTCTACCTAGAACTCTACAGGATAAAATTAAGTAGCGACATCTCACCGCAATTTTTATAATGATACAGTGGTGAAATGATAACCATCACTGTGTAAATCTATAGGATTAATTGAATGTTATGTATTTAAAGAAATCAAAATTCGAATACAGATAGATATTCTTAATGAAAAGACGTTTTGAAAATATAATGCTGCCTTAATAAATTCAGAATTGCCTACAAAAGATTAGACTATAGTATACAACAAAACCCTTGCCTTTTTGCCTTAACGATTCTATACTGCAGTTACTACTGAATAGTTTTAATTTCTGTATATATGTAATATGTGTAATTGTAATTTTCAGGAAATCATGCAGTTACTGTGCTAAGATATAACTCCACAGCTTCTCATGCGAAATTGGATACCTTGGCAGTGTCTGAAGGTATTATATATTCTAGTATAGCTTTAGATATTAGATGGACTTATGAAATAGAAATATTGTTTCTATTATTATTATCTTTATTATATCATTAGTAAAACAAGTTACTAAATATAGAAGTTTTAGGAGATATAATATTCCTGTTACATGTTGCCTTAGAAATTCCAAAGAGAATCTGCTTTATCTACTTTAGTTTATTATTTAATTTTTTTATTAATATTATTATATTTAAAATTTAATCACTTCACACAAAATATTTCTTTGGTCTATATAAAATAGCATTTAATAGCAATCTAAACCTGATTAAAAAAATAAAAACAAATGTACCAGAGGAGTTTCTTGCCAGTTCTTGAAAATTAAAGTAAAATGGATAGTAAAAATTGATTCGGTCACTTATGCATGTGATAAAAATTCACATGCATAAGTGGCCGAAAGTATATATAAATTAATGATTTTGACTTTAACTTTAACCAAATTACATAACAATCACAGCATATTTTCCTAGTCTCACTTAAAATTGGAAATGAATAAACCAAATGGTTTTAAATATTATTTAAATAATTTTTTTGTATAAATGTAGTATTATTTAAGAAAATATATTCATAATTAAACAATTATTTTACTATATAATAAAATTACTAGATGGAATAAATACAGGAGTATCTTATAACTTTGTAGCAAAAGATAGCCCTTGTGTTATAAAGTATCAAATTAAATTTAATTAAGATCACTTTAGCGATGTGGTCACACAACACTCTTCCTCATTTATAATATTAGTATGGAGGTAAAGGTAAGAGTAGACTGCTGAGCAGAGTTATTTGATAGAAATTTGCTGACACATTACATTTCACTGTCAGCCATTTGATTATAAGGCATCCATATTTAATTTTGTAATGTATGTAGGTATGGAGATATAGCAGCTAAACTGAACAGAAACAAGTAGTTGTATATTATTATAATATATAATTACTTGACATACTTTCATTAAATATACACATCTTTCATATAAATATTCTTCTATGTATACACATAATGATATTACATTTTCTAGATATACCTGAGACAAGGAAAAGGCCACTAGATTATCCTGATTACTTCAAAGTACATGAACTATTCACAGTAAAGGATTTATTTGATGCAAGAGTACATTTTGGACACAAGGAGGGTTCACTTAATGATAATATGAGACCATACCTGTATGGCTCGAGACTAGGTCACTTGATATTTGATTTGGACATCACTGCTGAACATTTACGCAAAGCTCTTAATTTTACTGCACATATTGCGTACAGAGGTGGTATAATTTGTTTTTTCAATAGGAATGCTTTAAATGCACACTTAGTCGAAAAAACTGCAAAAGAATGCGGAGAATACGCTCATACTAGATTTTGGCGAGGTGGTATTTTTACAAATGCTGACCATCAGTTTGGTGCAGTGACACGGTTACCAGATCTGTGTATATTTTTAAATACTCAGAACAACATTTTAAACCAGCACACTGCTGTAAGAGATACTGCAAAAATGTTAATTCCCACTATTGGTATTGTGGATTCTAATTGCAATCCTAATTTAATCACATATCCAGTACCAGGAAATGATGATACTCCAACTGCAATACAACTATACTGTGAATTATTTAAACAAGCAATAAAGAGGGGTAAAGAAGAAAGAATGAAGTTTTTACAGGAGAATGATGATTGAAATGTTGTAATATAGTAGTAGTGATCTAAATAAATATAAATATAGATTATAATAAGTACATTAATTTTATTTGAAACAAGTAGGTATTGCACTTTATTCTGCTTTAGTGTAAACATCTTTCTAACAAAGTAGTTTCAAACAGTGTCTATGTAGCTATTCATTGATTTAGTAGTTAAACCACAATGTGATGTCAATTGATTTAGTTAATTGATATAATAAAAAACAGTTTAATTAAATGAACCAAATTAATAACAAACTTTGATGACATATATAATTTATAATACGAGAATAATTCCAGATACTATAATAGGGTCATGTTGAATTAATTTTTTTTATCTAATTGGAATATCAAACGAGCAATGACGGTAAGTCGGAAACAATTGCATTTTTATATACATAAATAGCACTACGGATGACACGGAACCATGTATCTACACACAAGATACCATTCATGCGTTGCTATTCCGAAAGAATGGCGAATCGTATAGTATGGTATCATATGATAGAATGTCATGCATTTTATTCTGTACTTTCACTGATAAAACTGAAACAGTTAAGAAATCAAGCTGTTTGGCGGTTAAAATATTGAGGTTGTAGTAGAAGTGATACTGCGGTAGAAGTCTACTCTATGTAGAGATGTATTATTTATTGTTGTCGTTTGATTGTGATTTACAAAATAATGTACATTTTTATATGCATATGAAATCGGGAGCACCACTAGCTTGTACTAGTGGTGGTTATTAAGGAATAAAAAAATATATTTCAGTCCCAATGTTTAATTTTGATGGCACTATACACTTATTACATAGAATACAATTCTGTTTGAAAAAGGTACAAACTGTAAAGTTTAATATTTACAGAATTTTTAGAATACAGAATTTGATTGACATACAAGCAAAAAAGGTGGATTATTATCATCAACTGTAGAAAAAGCCAATCGTCAGCTACAGTCTACTTATCAATAAAGAACACAATAACGCCCACTTGCTACTTCAAGGCGACTTGTACATATACATATTTTAGTACATATTGCTAGTATACTGAGTATGTGTACCTAATAGTGTTATCCACAAGTGTATTAACGCGCATACGGGGACGCATACGTTGATTTCACGGCATAAAAACAGGTAGGTTATTATTTATATATTAACATAAGATTAAAAAATAGAATTTCACTAAGAGTTTATATATATATATATATATAATATATGCAATATTATCTATCTATAAAATAATAACGTTTCCTATTCTATCGTGAGTATTAGATACATAGCCCATTTGGCCTATCAAAATATCTTTTTATCTACATGTGGTGTGATAAAAATGTTATAATTACCTATATGCTTCATTGAGAAATTTATTAAATTGTGCATCCGATATAGGTTAATATATGAAGCTGTTAAAAATATTGTAGTTTACAAAATATACATTGCAAATAAGCTATTATGATCTAAATTTCATAAACATTATCCGAGTAAAACTTTCCGCATCATATGTGGATGCAGATTATTATCCATTTCTCGACTCTCCCATCTGCCAGTAATACACTTGGAACTGCATAAATATTGTAGTAGTGGTATACGGTATTTGCCACAGAAGTCCACGAACTTAATATGTTCCACTCGATTATCAAAGAAGACTCCTGTGAATAAAGAAAATATTATTTGGTAGAAGAAATTATAATTTTAAAGATTTTATTTATATATTAGCTGAAATACTAATATTTTAGCGGGTAAACAGGCAGTAAAACTGGATAAAGAGTATAATATTCATATATATACACGACGATTAGCATTTACCATCGGGTATGCCATCAGCTTCTTTATCGTTCAAACTACATAAAAAAACAAAATACTACTTTCTTAAAATAAAATTTGTCTCTCATTTATTACGTGTTATGAAAAGAGAGATTTCAACAGTAAAATTACAGGGATGGGTACCTACTTATCTCAGTAATACTCAGTAAAACGATTATAGTAGCATGAGGACCAAAATACCTAGTCTAGTACTCATAACTGGCAGAAGAAATACATAAGAGTAATCTAGGGGTTTTATATTGAGGATATTACCTTTACATTTGGGATTTACACAGCACTGCGCTGCACGGAGATACTGAATCAATGTGTCTGGGATTTCGCCGTCATGAATAGATAACTCGTGCAATTTTATAGTGCGTCCGGCCAGTTCCAACAATGACGGCGGCTGCAATGTCATATCCCGGACGAACCTCACCACAAGAGGATTGTCACGGAGACTTAGCTATAGAATACAAAAAAGATCCGTTATAGAAAAAGTAGAGTTGGCCTTTGTATACCATCAAAGTTGCTAAATTTTCATATTAAAACATTAATGCTAAACGCTAACACACGAATGCGTAACGTAACGAAGATACATATATGTATATCTAACTGTTCTGGCTTCGTCTGTCGTTGGTTTCCGAGTTAATATGAGGATAGATTGTAGGTCTGTTCTTGTGTTTAAATCCATTCAGCCGTTAAGCCGTAAAAAGGAAAACACCACAGACCCACTTTTGCATTTATAATGTGTCAATTTGTATATTTTACTAACTCTTCTGTGATGGAAACACCAATAGAAAAGAATATTACTTCAATAAACTAGGTTTGGCCTGTCACGTTAGATTCGAAATATGCAGGGAAATGCCGCATACCGATAAGTAATTGAAAATGTGTCTGACATCTAAAATCTGAAAATCTGTCCCAATTTAGTACAATTGAAAGTTTTTTTAGAAATAAATATGTTTATTTTATTTGTCGTTAAAATTTGTGAGTAAATGAGTAGGTAAAATTAGGTACTTTATATCTAAATTTATCTACTCATTCACCTAATTTCAATAACAGTGAATAGAGTTTGACCGGAATTTGAAGTGGCATTTTTACTTACTTACTATACATATCATAGTATGTATGTAGGTGTACTCATTCTACTATTACTATTGTGTATTCTGTAGTAATCTCTTTGCATATACCTACATTGCATGTTAAGTGACTAATAATTACATAATGTTCTAATAGTGAAATTGCGTCACTACCTAGGGAATATACGTAGCAAACAATATAACGTTTATGTTAACTTGTTAGTGTGAGGTTACGTTTCGGAATCATTTTTGTTTACTGTTCTATAAATGTTGTATACTATAACTATTACCTGCTTGTATATTATTTTACATTATATACCCTTAATTTTACATAAGTGATTCTAAATTACACGATATTTTGGTTATGTCTATATCACTCAAATCTTCGCCAAATTCAAAAGTATACACAACGAATCTATTGGTAACGATTAGATAGCAACTTCATATACATATCAGACAGACGTCGGTTGTAGCTGCCTTGTTTTATCTCATGCTTATATTTGCAATCGCATTGCTATCTTTATATTCGTTTATCACTTGTCTAAGTTGAGGCCCCCTGAACAGATTTCTATGTAATTATATTTATTTTGCAATCGATAAGTTTTATTCCCGTATTAGACAAAGACGGGAATAAAAGATTAACAGATAGAGTTTCGCTAAAGTGTTATTTGTAATAAACACCTTAATTTATATTATGCTTACCTCTGTCAAGCATGTTAATTTTATAATTTGTGTTGGTAGTGTTTTTAGTCTATTTTTATGTATTAACAAAGACCGAAGTTGTTTCAAGTTAGCAATGCTGGTAGGTAATTGTTCTATAAGGTTATCGCTCAAGACCAAAGCTTGGAGTGCAGTCAGCCGGCCAACCGATTCAGGAACTTCCGAAATTTGATTGCCCCCTATTGACAGGATCTGTAAACTAAAGCGATAGCAGTTAAAAAGATCATTACAAAGAGAGTTGACTGCAAATAATACAATGATGTGCATGTAATATAGTGCTGTGCTGTGTTGTTAAGTAGTATATTTATTATGTTGTGCACTAATACACAATTGAGGAGTGTATAAGGGCCCTTATCTTTCAAAGGTATACACGATAAGATTTATCGGCAACTTAGACCCGTGACACAATATTAGACACTAAAGTCACAAAAGAGCGAACTCTATTGATCAGAACAAAGATGTTTATAAGTGGAATGTATTTAAATATTTACGTTATACTAATATGCGTACAAAAATAATAATAAACACTACGACGACCGCTTTGACTGTTAGTATAGGGATGCGTGTCCCTTTAATTTTTCATGAGTCACGAGATGACATTTCACGGAACAGTGCGATGTAATTTGGTAATTTATTATTCCGAATCATGGGCCTAGTGTTATGCAGTTTGTGATAAGATCTATTGGTTCAAATATTCACAGCGAAATTTTGGACAAGTCTAGCGCTGCGTTTACGACAACATCGACAATTGACAATGCACCCTCTAATTACCCTGCACATTATTTGAGGTTAGAGTCGTGGGGATGGGTATCTGATAAGACCATTGGAAAACTTTGTCCGTAAATTTGTTAAAACTTGATGATCAAATTCGTACCCAAGTACAACGAAAGACAACCATTAAACATTGAACGCGAATTATGAAGAAAACGAGTTCTTGCTATCTACGTTAGTCATTTATCCATGAATAAATAAATTACCAAACAAGTATTTAATATCACCGACTAGGTCTCCATCTGAGATGACGGCATGACTCTACGCACCTTTGTAATTTATATCAATTTCAGATTCAATAATGTTGGTCGCGTTATAATTTAACATTCGCCATTCGTTTAAAAATAAAATATAAACTAGAAAATAAATGTATATTCGTACAAATTAAAGAAAGTATGTTGACAACTTATAGATATCTGAGATAGGGAAGAAATCAAACCAAGTTATTTTGTCAACATTCGTTTTAGGCAGGTGGGTATTTAAAGAAACTATAAAGACTTAAAATTGTTGAAAGTTATTATTCTGCAGTTTATATTATATTTTTAAAGAAAAATATGTCGCTCATCTTGTCTACCTATTACCCTCCAGGGGGTTCTCAGGTATCAGGATCATTCACGATTGACGGATCGTTTCCTTAATTCTACTTTTATCCATCCCATGATTTTGACCCAATTTTTCAGTTACTGTTTGAGATCTGAGCCGAAACTCGGCTACAAATTCTGTTTTTTTCCTATGGCTATGAAAACCAGTTTCCGTCAAATACGATATTGCCCATAATTACTAATCATTATGATAATTATGTAAACGTCTTAACAATTATGTATTTTTAACCGAAAATTGTTTATTGTTTCGGTATTTGAAATTATTTAACTGAAATCATTTACCTGGTTAATTTCCATATGTCTTTTGGAATATTCATTATATTATTGCCACCTAAGTAAAGATACTTAAGCGATGTTAACTCCATAATTTGCTCTGGAAATACGTTGAGCTGGTTTCCACTGAGGTTAAGCTCTTTCATTGTACATTTTGTTACATTAAAACATTTAGGTAATGATTCGTTCGTTAGTTGATTATTTTTTGCTATTAACGATGTGAGTGGACAGTATTCAAATATATCGGGAAAAACTGTTAATCTGTTATTGCTAACGTCCAGTATTTTTAAATTACAAAACTTGTTTATTGTATCTGGTAGCGCCGTAATATGGTTGTTATATAGCAATAATATCTCGTAATTTTCTGCGCAATTCTTCTCGTCAACAACTCCTTTCAGTTCCAATGACAGGCTCAGTGAATCCATTAACTTGCACGATAGATCAAGAGTTTTTTGTTCCCTGCTATCACTATCGCAACTGTCCGACGTATAGCACTCCATTATGATACCACTTTGAAGATTGCGATGACCTCTCTACAACCAGGCACAAAGAATTTGCTATTATATTTACATTATCAATATTCTATGTCAAACACAATTGACGCGATCGTGCTCAAAACCGGCGCACGCGCAACTGCTCTCCCTACTCTAAACTATTACACTTGGCGCGCGGCACACCCGTCATCGCATGCCGTCTTGGCTTGATGATAATAAGTTCATTTATTAAGATTACATGAAACTATCGGTCCGCTATCATAGTCAATAAATGGGGACACGCGTCGAAGACTTGCCGGTGGTTAACTGAAATCGTAAAAAAAGAATACGTAGGCGTTTGTTTAGCATGAATTATATTATAAACAGATAATAATATTTAGTATAAAATTTAGCATAAGTACTCATTATAAATTTAAAAATAAAATTACAATATATCCCAAAAACATCAACTTTTAATTATTTATTAAACTTTGAGAAATCCAAAACATCCAATATTCAACTAATTATAGCCTTTTATATTTACAATCATAATTACCAAATAATTTTTAAAGTAAAATTCTATGCTAATTTCACTATTGTCAGCATGCTATGCATTTAAAAGGAAAATAATTAAACACTGTTTCAATATTATTATTCAGTGTTGTAGACATTCTGTTAAATTAAAATTTATATACCTATCTAAATAAACTAAATACCTAAATACCTACCTTCATACGCATTCATATCATAAAGTTTCATTAGTTCCCTATATTGTTAAATATCTGCGCATAGTCGTAGACCATTGTTTTATACAAAATGCGCTCATTTCTTAGATAAGGGTTTATTGTGTGGACTGAGCTTTATGAAGGGAATTATTCAATCTTCAAATCCACCTACATCAAGCCCATACCTGGGACGGGTGGGTTGTGACCGTCCGCGCCCCGTCACGTCATTGACTTTTTATCCACACAAGGCAGCGAATAACTTCGCAATAAAATTTTCTCCGATATCATTCCAAATGCTTTTACTTGTTTAACCTAAAATGTATATATATTTCGATTAACATAGCCATATCAAACGCTATACTGTTAAACAAATTGTCATTAATATTACTTGTGATCTTTGAATAGTTAATAATTATATATTACACTGATGATGAGAGACTAATCCCCGATACGATGATAGGCTCAATCCCGATTGGATGTTAGATTATTTTTTTTATTTGGAATGGCAACCAATCTGACGGCCCATCAGAAGGTAAGCGGTAACTGACCCCTATATGAACAGCATTACAGACATCACTTGATCATGTGACACCCGTATTACCATTTACGCGTTGCCATTTCAGATGACTATGGTACCATACCTTTTATCATGAAATTTTGCTACCTAAATGCACCTTTGCTACGATTGCTAAATGTATTGTCAACTCTCGACATCGGTTGCATATTTAAAATACTATTATTTTTAATATGTCACATCTCTATTCCTGCCACATCAATCATAACTAAAATCTAATGCAGGCTGCATTATCATGTTAAGTAATCTAGTGTCTATCCATTTTTATAAGTCCTTTTGGTGTGTAGGTAGTAGACAAAAGTGTAGTGGGTAGTAACGTAAGTATTAAAGTTCTGTTATAATATTATTATGACTGTCGCTCCCATTTAGATTGACAGGAAATTAAAACAATAAGATAAAACAAACGGCGTAGATACCTACTTACATGCGCCATACACATCAAATCTATAATAGATAGCAAGCAGACAGTAGGTATAATTTTATCAGAGCGATACCCCGTGACACGATCTCCGGCGCTATATATACCTAACTCGGTAACACCGCAGATTGTTGTAGTTACTACGTGACAATTACTTTGTGTTGAATCTTATTGCTGGCAAATTGGGTATTTCTTTTTGTAAGTGATGATTAATCCCATCTGAGCTAATGGTATAAACTGGTGGGATATGAGTAAAGATCTCATGCTCATCCAGTGGACGATGATAAGATCCCAGTCCACGTTTACTTATCATTATCATCCATAAAAAACAATACTTTTTATATTGTAAATGTATCGATGGTAGTAGAAGCATGAGCAGATTCATTTTTTATGCCTCAATAGTGGTAAGCAAGCATACGGCCAATCTTATGGTAAACGGCTACCGCAGCCTATGGACGCCTGAAACGCCAGGGGTCTTAAGTGCGCGTTGCTTATTTTTGTTAAAAACCTGTTTGCTTAAAAACCTGAACATATATTTCTTATAAACAACACGCTCTAGTTTAATTGACAACCTCAGGCAGTTTTTTCCGTACGCTACTCGGAAACCGCACTGTGCTAAACCACTTAGATTCCTAAATGTGAGGATGAATCCCCTATCAATGACGGACGGTAATGTTATATAGTAGTACATCGTGAGAAAGCCATCAAAATATAGCAAACAACCTCAATCATTGCGATAGAAATTGTATTTTTTATAAAGTGGTTCGCTAAAAAGTAAGTATACTGTATAATTTTATGGAATAGAAATTTGGTGTAATCTATCTTATCCAACAATATTGTTTTATTTTTGTACTGGCAACCATATATAGGAAGTTTCAGAGAATAATATAGTGATTACATGCTCACTGACTCGGTTAAAGAAGGGCTTATGCTGTCCGGTCACATTATCATGATGCATACAACGATTGGTAGAATGTCGGCGTTAGTCGACGTTTTACACTGTCAATAATTTACTTATGTAATTTCAGAATAAAATTTTACATCAAAACTCTTATTGACACATTTTTATTTAATTATATATAGTACAAAAATTTAAGGAATACGAGATTATATTGACAAAACTTTGCTTTAAACAACCAATCGTTTCTTCCATACAACGCAATAATGTGAACGGACTGTATAATTATTCCCGTGCGAATGACAGTACGCCCGAGTGCTGTTTTACCGATAAAAGATAATGAAACGTAGATGGCTCTGTATGGGGTGGCGTCATCTTCGTTGAAATGATCGAAGCTCCGACGTTTGTCGGAATTTGCCGAATGAGCGAGTGAGTGCAACTCTGTAGAGAAGGAAGGCGAATAGGCGAAGTAACTAAAAATCTGCCGTACATTATGTGATGTAAATTTTGAAAATTTAACAAAATGGTATTGTAAAAGTCTAATAGGACAGTAGTATTTTCATTTTAATTGTGTCATAGTGATATTGTTTTGACTATAAAACTTATAACTTTGTCTATCGTTGGTAAAGTGAAAGAGTTCAGTGCGAGTGCAAGGGTGGTAGTAACGAGAAATGTGAATTACCTATGAAGTTCAGGATTTTAAGGCCGTTTATTTTATACCTTTAATAATGAGCGGACGCCCTAGGACCACGTCGTTCGCCGAGGGCAGCAAATCCGTTCGAAAAACATTCGATAATCAACCACCGAAACCACCACCTCTAGGAGGCGTAAAAATTAGCAGTAAGTACCACATAACCATTCTTTTGTCGGCCATCGTGATTTCTTTGCGTCTGTGACGTATATCGATACTGACAATTTTAAATATGGCTGCAAACTGCCATAATTCGGCTACTGAACGTGTAAATTACGATAACTCTTAAATAAATCAATATCGCCAGCATTTCAGGTCGGTAGCATTTCAAAAATGGCCACAAGCTGTACTTAGATTATGCCACATAGGCTTTCCAGTATGACAGTGATCACGTCAAATTATCACATTTATGAACTAATGCGTATTTGTCGATGTGATGAAATTCTGAAATTAACATATGTGGTTTAAATTATTATATCATTCTAAAAAGTAACCTATCACACGATCCATTTTGCCTGCCTAAACTATTTATGTATTCAAAAGTAATATGATTTCTATGCTGCTTTTAGGTTATTTTCATTGTGACGTAATAAATGTAATGGCATTTTAATATTTGTTAGAAATTAATAACTGTTTGGAATGTCTATTTAGGTTACAAAGTTTTAGTCCTATAGGCTAAACAGTTTTTGACAGTGCTCTTTGAATACTACTGAATAAAAACTAAATTCTTTTTAAAGTATAATTGAAGTAAATAAATATATCTTGTTAATATAAGACATTTAGGAAACACCATCAAAGAAAGAAAACAATTATTAATTTCATAATGATACATTTTAAAGTTTCCTTATTATTTTATCTATTAAACAATAGTAACAAAGAATAAACAGGTCTTAATTTTAAAATAAGAAAAACATGAAAACCTTTTTATGTTGTTAATTTTTTATCATATTTATTTGTATATTTTTATTGACCACTTTATTTATGTATAACAATGCATATCCTAATTAGTTTATTTTTTTGCATCTTTTATTTCTTACAACTTACTTGTCCTGTATTTTTTTATATTTTAAATAATACATTTTACTATGATTGCTTATTTAAGAGTTTTTCTTTAGAATATATTAAACAATTTGTAGATTATTGTAATGGTGAATTCTCAATTTTAATAGCTGTTAGGACAAATATCTTTAATTTGTAGTTTTTATATCCCCATTGGCTATAGATTTAATACATTTATTTTGATTTAAATAACTTGCAATGGCTGTAAATTTTGTGTTAAATGTGATATCCTAAAGTCAATTATAGAATAAAGTGTTTAAGTTAAATTGATTTTATATTTCCTTACTTTTTCTTATAAAAATTAATAAACAAAGGTGAAGTCGACTGAAGTTACAAGGTCAGTCAGAGCAATGTACCATACATTGCTAGTAACAATAGTCCCCATTACTAATAGTGAGACTATGAGTTATTGCAATTGAATTCTATCTGAAAATTGCCTTATTTGTCCTCTTAATATCATTTGAGTATCAGAGGAGTGTATGAGTTCATTCCCACTTCACTATCCTAAGGAATTAAATGTTTTTTGATTGTGAATGTTAAAATGCACCAAATAATTATGAAAGAAAACTAAATAGGAATTTTTTACACAACACAATTGACTGAGAATTTATCACACCCAAATTTAGAGATATTTAGGTAGGGTTTGATTTGTGGGAAAAAGGATGTTCTCTGTTTTGGACATTTTGTGTTGGGCTGGGGTCTGGAAAATGCATTCAAAGATTTTAGAGAGATTACATTATTTTATTAGTGTCACAATCTTTCTGTATGTACCATTTTGGTATATGCCTACAATTTCTTCAATTATGCCGCTGTATGAAACTTAGCATAACCTACCTTGCCAGAAGTGATTGTTAGTAATGGAGACTTAACTATAAAACTGCTTTTCACTTAGTTCACTTTAAACCATGGTGATTAATTTATGAGGATAAGTGGTCTGATTTGATCTCCATACTTCACCATCAGCATGTGTGTAATTAATGCAGGAGGAGTATCTTTTTTATGATTGTATATTAAAAAAACTACCAGCACCCTCCTTAATATTGCTATTTTAATTGCCTCATTCCCTGTTTTCACTGACTTATTTCTCCGACACCTTCTGCATTGTAGTTACCTATTATATGAAAATAATTGTTACCTCTAAAATTGAATAAATATTTCAATTAAAAATAATTAATGATTATAACATAAAATATTGGTATTGAATAATAATAAAATTATTTATTCCCTCATAGAACAGTGGTTGAGGGATGATAGACTCTCTGTCTTGATCCCCAGTGTGCCCTTTTAAGAAAAGAAGCTTTTTTTATTGCAACACATTAAATATTTAGCCTGATTACAATACGGCGCATAAAGCCGCATTGTAATTTTATTGTAAGATGAACACACACTTAATCTTAGTGGAAGAAGCAGGTCAAACTTTGAAACAATATGTGGTAATTTAATAATACTAACTAAAGAAGATCGCATGGCGCGAACTGCTTTTTTATTACTAACACGCTCAAAACACAACAACATATAAAACGAAAAGTAAAATCATGTAAAATGTAAAGTAAAAACATGCACAACTGCTAAAATTTGTATGTTATTATTGCGACGAAAGTACATTTGACTGAAAATAACCTACTAGATCGGTCAATTTATATTGATAAATGTTAACCTAGTTTGGATGATATATTTACGTTAGTTTCTGTACAGTTGGTTTGAGTATTCAGTGCTGAGTCGAAGTGTGATTATGCTTAAAAATTTACTTAAATGGCTCTCCATGGCTAAACACCAAAGGTAGCGCGTTGTTTTGCATTTTTAATAACTTGCTAACTGCCAATTCAACCTTGGTTGTGCAAGCAGTTAGTTGGGACTGTATATCCGACAATTGTTATATATTAGAAGATTATCTATGCATATTAATAAATGTGTCATAAAAAAGAAGTATACTGATTCTCTGTTTAAACTTTTGTTGGATATGAATCAGGACGCACGTATTTTAGCGTTTTCGAAAAATTTGTAGGATTGGTCCTTATTTGTAGAAGACGTATTATTTTAATCTTGGTTTCTTGGGTCTTTAATATTAGTTAAACACACGCATTACAGTATCTTTGGAAAAGAATAGCAATCAGCAATCAAGGGTGAAAATTTGTACAATAGGTTTGTTTTTTGTCCAAATAAAATTTGGTTTTGACTGCAGTAAAAACGTTTACGTAAAAACGTAAACGTTATGTTACCTACATTTTAGAAGCCACAAATTGTTTGAAGATAATTTAAGATCCCTCTTCATAAGTCGTAAAGATTCTTCTACAGAAGACCGGCTTATCCAATATAATAAATATGTTGTGGAAATCCGACAGCCAGAAAATAAATGTTATACAATTTTTAAACCATTACACAGTCAAAAAATAATTAAAAAATCAGTCCACTTAAACGTTATTTAGCTCAACATTGTGAAGGGCGTAGTACAAGATATATCCTAGGAATACGCCGGGCGTAAGTACAACTAAAGAGGCTGTAAATGTATTATGTTAAATATAAATGTATTTCTGACAATATATTCGTATACGTTGCTATAAGTATGTATGTGTTTGTGTACAATACAGCTGTTAGTGTACTTATCTGTGCCTCTGCTCAGTTTATCATTTTATTTTATAAGTCGAATTGTCAAAATAAGATACTCATGTTTTGGCTCAATTGCTTACAATTACTCAGTTACATGAAGATACATTACATTTTTGTAAATTCAATAATGTATAAAACGTTTAATTTCGTTTTAAAGTACTTGGTAAAGAAGAGTAATTGTCCATTACCGTAACACGCAAGTTCACACAACTGATTCAGTTGTCCTCTGTTATCGCATGTGTTATCAGTGTAGTTGTCGATCTTGTTATCTCGTCGTTATGACCGCACCATTCGCGGAAGAATCGTGCCAACGCACTCTCGGTTTTCGAGTCGCCTTTCGCTCAGCGCCCCGGTCACAGTCGAGCGACGTGGTCGCCACAATCGGTGCATGTTGCAAAATTACCCAATTAGGTAGTTCGTTAACCTAGTTTTATTATTTGGCGCAGCTTTTCGGATATCGAATTCGGGAACATTTATGATTGCTATATTAGGAATAAATCAGTGCAAAACTCAGGACCGCAAAAATAGTGCATTAAAAATGATAAAGTACTTCAAATAGGATAGCTACATTAGCATAGAAAGAGTTAAAGTTATTAACAGAGTAAGTTGTTTAGTGAAGTGCATCCGTAACCTTGATGTTGTTTAAAAGACTGCCACTGTATAGGAAAAATGTTGCGACGGCGCCGGACATACATCGTAAACCCAGATCGCGATGATCGTCGACATCGAACCAAGTCATCGGAACCTACTCCATATTTTATGAAATTAATAGGTAGCCATTGTTCATTACACATATTTTTATTTTCGATCTTCAAATGTAATCTAACAGTTATGACAGATTTATCTTTTTTCGAAATATGTGACTTGTGTATCATATCTCTTAGTCACTAACAAAGATTGAACTGTTAAGTAGTTGTCTCGTAATACAATCTCAAGTGTGCATATATATATTTTATACAATCAACTGTTAACTCTATTTTAGGGTTCCGATACCAAAAAGATTAAACACTTCTTCTCATCCGTCATTGACATTCTCATCCGTCAATTCTTATAAGAATACACCCTTAACTTTAAATTATGAACTCTCGCTTACAGCACAGTTTAGCGTTAAAAAAACGGGTAAATCGGCGAATGTTGTTAAGTAAACAAAATGAGTAATTCATTAAGTAACAACATGATTATTTGAAGACAGAGATTGATACTATACTTATGTATTTTTATTATAATATATATAAATTAACATTTTTAGGTACCCTCTCAAACTAGTTTTTTTATATTTCCATGGAGTTTTTGAACTTTTGATCAAGTGTTTAATGATCTTTTGAGATTAGTAACAACTAACTCTGAGTTTAACATTGTTTGTACTGGACATGGTTTAATATTTCAAGTTAACATAAACGTGATTAACGTTATGCTAAACCCCGATAGAACAATATATTTGTTACACTTTCAGAGCATTGTGGTTTACTACTTACACCAAAGG